ACTGAACTCATTTGTCTTCACACATTTTCTTATGTATCGCCAAACAACTCTTCCAAGTTGGTAACACTATTCTTCCACTCAACTCAAGCTCTCTGGGAAATCCTCTCTCTTGCAATTCCAAACAACTATTTTCCCTGCCAAACAAGATCTTCTAAGATGGTAAAACTATTACTGGATTTTACCCACTGGAGCCAGGATAGGATCTGTTCTCTTAACCTCTCTTCATTGCAGTCACACAACAACTGCTTGCCAAAACAAAAACCTTTGTCCCTCTGCTCTTTGGGATTTTCCTTCTTGGGAAATTACAGAGTAGCCATTTTCTTTTCCCTGCACTAGTAGAACTAGATTAGCTTGCCTTTTAATTGTTCAACATTAATTTATTAAATAATTTTTACCCACTTCCAATAAAGGTGTATATTACAATATATATATATTGTAATATACACCTAGGTAATATATATATACCTGTCTGTTGGTGAACTGATTTTCAATCTTGCTTAAAACATAATAAAAAGTATTTTTAGATATGCGGAATCTATCCAAAAATTCATCATCCCTCCTTAAATTAATGTGATCCAGACAATCTCTTAATATTCTAAGATTAGGAAATGTTAAATTCCGAACAACATAGTTGAAATCTTCATCATCCGTAATATTATTATCTTTTTGGGATTTGAAAAGGTCCATACTGTTTGATGTTTACAACACTTTGAAAGAAATACAGAGTTATAATAGTAGTTAGTTCAGTTGAACTTAACTTGACTGAGCCTCTTTGATGGTTCACTTTTAACTTATCTTGATTGAAGTTCAAACGATAACCTTCATTTGTACAACTTGATTTTTATGGTTGACTGCATTTCAAGTTTGCAGTGAACTTAAACTCCAGTTGTACAACTGACCTTATGATATCAATCAAAGAAAGTACCCTTGAAAACTAGAACTGTGGTTAATAACAAAATATATAATTTGTTAAAAGTGTTTATAGTGGTTTCCTTTAACAAATATCCATCACATAGATTTAACTGTTGCGACCAATTATTTAACCAAGTTGGCTTTTACTAACACTCCTCTACTTTAAGTTTTATGTCTAATTTTGTGTTGATATATATTTTTATTTTTATTATATTTATTATTATATTTTGATATATATTATATATTTTTACTGTCAACTGATGGATACTTTGAATACAATTTGCCCTAATATGTGGATAACTTCTATCACCTTTTGTTTTGTCAACTGTTCAGGTAATAGGTAAAATAACTATTCCTGTTTGACTAAACCACTTATTCATCAAATTGCTAATTTGAAGGTCACGTGTTTGTCAATAAAAAAAAAAGGATAAGCTCTTCTTGCTGTAAAATTAATTTTTTGTTTTTAAAAGTGTTGGCCGCTAGTGTTTTTTTGGAATAATTGCAATAACATCCATAAGAAGGCTTACTGATCATAAAATCACATTTAAATTAATAGACCTAGCAGTGAGTTTGGTTGAGCATGCAAAAATCTTTCACCGATGTTTTTCTTTTGATTATTTTCTGTATTGTCCCATCGACTAGAAAAGAATGTGGTAGGTTTAGGTTGGAGTAGGTTAAGAATGCCACAACGTGATATTGTTGGTCTAATCTCTAAAATATGACCACTAAGCATTGTAGAGACATGAATTTGGTCTCAAATTGTTCATATTTCAATGCTCAAATTTTTTTGTCATATCATATTTTTTTAATGAGCGGAGTGAGCAATTCAAGCATAGAGTTCTATAGCGGAAACAGTTGCACCTTCATACCTCAGTCTCAATGAAGTAAGAATTCTTAAATATAGGGAGTCCACAATCTGGAATTAAAGATATTTAATGTTGTGGTCATGCTAGTGGGCTTGTGAGTATTGTGTTTGGTTGGGCAAGCAATAATTTGTGTAAATTATTTTTTAACCATTTACTCTTTATTTTGATATTATTCCGTTTATGTTCAAATCTTGCATTTTTTCACCTTACCCAAGAATAATTAAATTATAATTGAGTAATGTTTTTTCCTCTTCTATTTATATTTTTTATTTAATAAATTTAATGTTTGTTTTTTACAGGAAATTATTGCTACAAAAACCTGTTCTGGACATCCAACCAACAAACAGTAACTCTTTTTTCAGAAGAGAAGGTAATTTAATTAAAAATATTGTAACTTATTGAAAGTGGTGAGTTTGATTGAAGTTATCTAATGATGATTGATATTTAGTTTTCCATTTTAATTTGATATGTTTTTAAGTTTTTTTAGGATTCAATCCAATATAATTTAATTTATGGTCCTCACCAAACCATCACTGAGGAAGGGTGATGACCTCCTTCCACTCTTCCAATGACTTCCTTGGCTTCTTTAGAGCTGTGTGCGTATATACGATCATTTTGGCGATTCAATTTTTTTTCAATTGTAAAATTTTTCTCATCGCTAAACAAAATCTTTCGATGAAGACCTTTGGTGTAACGGCCAATGAGTACTTTGCATCTATCCATTCTAATTTTTTTTAGGGAAGTGGTTAGACTTTGTCCTGTCATTCTTTGAGTGCACCCATCCTAAGGTCACCTTTTGTTATGCAATACATTGTTCAGACAGAGATTCCCATTTCACGAGACATGATTTGTTGTTTTCGAATGGGATTTGTTCTGATTCGAGCAGCCATTGCACTCACTGCATTTATTTATTTATTCTCACAGTGCGGGAACGGTCGAGGTCTGTCACATACAGATAGGGTCTCTTATATCTATTTATAGTGCAGTACACGAACATACGGCTGATACTCAAAGGTTTCAAAGTGTTGAAAATCTCTGACCTACATTTTCCAACTTTATGTAAGGCGATCACAGCTATTCGGTTTTCTTTATCTCCCCACTCCATGTTAACTGAGTGAAAGAAAAATACAAACTAATTGGGATTATTATCCTGACATGTAAAGAAAATAACCTAATAGAGATAAGGTTTATCTAAATAATACCCAAGTATCTAAACAAAGTTCAACTTTTGTAACAGTATTTATGGTAGAACTAGATAATAAATCTTAAAAGTTAGAATCGGTTATTATTTATCTGAGAAAATTGAGGTTCGTTCAGGCTTAAAACAAGGTGATTCCCTTTGCAGCAAAAATGGCAACAATTTAGGTGTTATAGATAGTGAAGTTTCAACATGTTTAGGAATTTAGATATTTAGGGTCTATGATAACAAGTAAAAACAAAATTGAAGAGGAAGTTAAGGCAACGTTAAAGGTAGGAAATTCTTTCTATTTTCCAGTTGCAAAATTATTTTGCTCGCAGCTGTTGTAATAACCATTCTTCAGAAAAATCTCATTTCTGCTAATGGGATCCTACTTACGTGTTTGTCTTGGGCTGTCCAGCTTTCTGATCCATACAGGAAAACTGGAAGAAACACAGATTTAAATATCCGTATTTTGGCATCTTTACTCACTTCTTGCTTGCCTATAACAGTTTTGGATATCTGATGGAACAGTCCATCAGCCTTCATCACTCGATTTAGAACCTCCTGGTCTATTTTACCATTCTTAACTTATTATGGTCCTTAGGTGTGTATAAGTATTTGTTAGTTCTAGAGATTCGCTGTTACACAAAATCCTAGGCTCCACATTTTCTCTTCTGACACACATGATTTTGCTTTTGTTTGGGTTTATTTGTAAATCACTTATCTTCAGTTCCTCATTCCATTCATCCAAAGATGCCTTAAGAGCCTCCTGGGAATCAGGTATCAGAATAATGTCATCCGCCTGTATCATAGCTTGAGCTAGTATTGGAATTAGGTTCAAAAATCCTGCTACTGCTCTTGGACATCTCGTTTTACACACTTTCCATATCTCATCCATAAGAAGGATAAATATCTAGGGGCTGTCTCCCTGCTTTACTCCCTCATAAAAGTGGAAAGGCCACAATGTCTGACCGTTAAGTCTTACTGTGCCATTTGGATCTTGGTATAGTGATTTAATTGCATTCACCAGGTTTGCTGGCACTCTTCTTGTCATTAGTGTGTCTCCCATATCTCCTGCCTCTGAACTGAGTGAAAGCCCGCCGTCAGATCCAGGAAAGCCAAGTAGACCACCTTGCCCCGATCCCTCGCTTTCTCTACTATTGTTCATAATGAAAAAATGTGGTCTTGGGTCTGTCTTCCATATCTGAAAGACGCTTGCTCCTCTTCAGTATCCTGTTCCACAATACACCGCAGTCACTTCTCTAAAATTCTAGTGTATATTTTGTACAGTACTGAGGATAGTCATATTGGCCTATAGTTCCCACATTCGCTTAAGTTGCCTTTATTGTGAATTTGGATTATGATGTTTTCCCATTCTCGTGGCAGCAATTTAAGTTCCAGAATCTTCTGCAACAGCATTTGGAGGCATTTAATCATTTCATTGCCTGTTCATTGGCTGTTGTCCTGAAACATAAAAATTAGAATGTACAAAACCATTATTCTTCCTACTGTTTTTTATGGATGTAAAATGTAGCCAACTACATTAAGGGATGAGAAACGTTTTAGGTTTTTTTTTTTTTTTAAATAAAGTATTGTGTAGAATATTTGGACTGAAGATGGATGATTCAACTGGAGAATTTAGATAGTTACACAATGGTGAATTGCGCAAACTGTACCCAGTTGATATAATTGACATGCTAAAATTGAAGCAAATGAAAGGGGCATATACATTTGTGGGCTTGGTAACAAAAGAATTCCTAAAAAGGTAACATGTGCTGTGGCTATTGGCAAGCCTCTGAGGGGTAGACTGAAGCGAAGGTGGGAAGATTGTGTTAAGGCTGATTTGGACAGCGACCGGTGGAGAGATGTGTGTAAACGGAGATTGATGGTATAAAAAAAAAGTATTGTAATCGAATCTTCGGGTTTCGCTTAGCCTTATTATCATTGTTATATAATAAATCTATCTCTATCAGTGTTGTTTTCTTTATAATAGTTATTTTTAAATGTTTATTTATTTCTATGTCATTATTTTAATTTTATATATGTAAATTAATTTTCTAGGTCATTGTCAGAGAATAAAACGAAAAAAATTGTTTTTTCATGAGACTAATTTTTCTAATGAGAATCATGTTCAGAAGTCAGTACAAAATGTAGAAAATAAATTGCACGGTAATAGTAGTTTTTTTTATATTATTTTTATTTTATAACATCTTTACCATTACTTAAATTTTATATTGTTTTTATTTTTTCATGACATTGAAGGAAATAGTGTGGAGTATTGTGTTTCCATTAGCTCAGATGTACAAAAATGTAACTATAACCCTACTGATGCTGCTTTAACTGCAGGATTAATTAGACCATTAAGCCCTGAAATATTTTCTGATGAAGGTATGCTTTAATGTCAACTAATTTTGAAATTTCTGAAAGTGTTTCATACAATTTTTTTTTACTAACAAATTTCAAGAATCATGCCCACGATAAAGATAATTGTTTTCCCAATGAAAATTTATCTGGTAAATTTTTACTTTCACTTACCTATGTATTTAATGTATAATAAGAAAAAGTATTGTGGTTTGAAAATTTTCAAATCTGTTCATATAACCAAATTCTGTAAAATGGTCTGTGCGTATATGTGAATGTAGGCGTTCCTGATGCCAAGCATATTTCGATCGCCCTTTGCCACATCATCAGTCCATTGAAGCTTTGGCCTTTCTCTCATTCTTCTTCCGAAAAGCTGTTCTGTTAACAACATCCTTGTCATCTCTTCGTCTCGCATACGAGCCAAATGGCCAGCCCAACATAGCCTTCTTGTTCGTAACACTTAAGCAATATCAGGCTTATAACTAAAAGCTTTAGGTTGCTCCTTCTACTTTATTCATTGCCTACTTTCTTTTCTCTTAATATCCCATGAAAAACTTTTTTTTCAGATTTGAAGCTGTTGTTCACTGTTGTTTGAAAGAGTCCATGTCTCACAAGCATACAGGAGTATTGGATGTATTAGGGTGTTATAAAGGCATCATTTTGTTTGTTTGAAGAGATGGTGACTCACAAAGTGTCTATGAAGTCCAAAGTAACACTGGTTAACCAAAATAATCCTATTCTTGATCTCCTATTTCATTGAATTGTCCTGTGTCACTATCAACCCAAGATAAGTGAACTCCACTACTTTTTAAAACTTATATGGCCCGATTGTCACTGTTTCTCCTTCCAAGGATGCTTCCCCAGACATCATGTCCTTAGCTTAGAGCTGTTCACTTCTAATCCTAGTCACTTTGCTGGTTCTACCAAGGCTGAAAATGCTTGCATCACTGCTGTTAGTGGCCGACCTACAATGTCTATATAATTAGCATAGGCTATAAGCTGGTAGAGGTGCTTGTACATTGTAATATATTCAAATAATTAAGTATATCTCATCGGTTTATTCCAAAAATCATTAAGTAACATTTTAGAAAATTAAATTAGTGAATAATGTGATGAATTTTCTATCAGTGAAATCACAATTTTATCCACTTACAATTAGTGTGACCACTTTTGACCTATCAATGGTGTATTGAAAAGCTCATAACTGTATTTTAGTAAATTTTGTAAGGGAAAAAAATGAAAGACTGAAAATTTGTAAAAAGTGATAGGGATTTAATTCCTATAATTTTGACTATATAGTTCAATCCTTACTTGTTCATAGATTAAATATATATACTTTCAAATCTCTCTTTGTATATAGAGTTCCGAGACTGGAGTTATGTGGTTCAAATAGACTGATGGAGTTATGAGGTTTCTATTGCCTGTCGTTGCTATAATAAATAGGGTTTGTGTTATTTTTATAGTCTTAATGAGTTTCTGCATTCAACCGAATGCATTAATGTGCTCTTTGAGGTTTTGGGCCACAAAAAATGCATAAAAATTAGAGCGGTAGGTGAAGTAAATATTTTTGTAGTTACCGCTTCCTATTCATCAATAATTGTCATTTACTTTAAAAAACATAATTATATTTTGTACTTTTTTGCAGAAAATTGGACCATTGTTTATAAAAACATTTTTGTAGCTCTTGAGGTCTGCTATAACTCCTTTAAATATTTCCCTCTGCTTACAGGACACCGTGTATATATGGAGTAAATGGTTACTTATACCTCTAATGTTTATTGCCCTTAGATGAGAAAGATTCTGTTATTTTTCAATCATAAAAAAAATACTTGGGAAATATATTGAGCAATGTTATTGTTCAGTTGTTAACTTCTAAAGCAGTGGTTCCAAATGGCATTCTGTGAAAACCTTGAGAATAGTTTGTGAGAGGGTCTGGGAGCATATATGACAAAGGTTTCTGATAAATTTCAGGGTATCTAATTCTTCAGCTTTGAACATCATTCCACAACTGTTTGGCTAAGAACCAGGTGCTCTGATAATCGTGAATTATATAATTACTATTCTTAATTGATAAAAAAAGGAATCTGGCCACAGTGAGGGTTAGGATTGGGCTGTATTTTTTATTTATTTTATAAACCTTAATTTATAGGTTTGAGTATCAGGAGAAATGAAAAAGTTTTGGAAAATCGAGTGCAGGAAGTAGTGTTTGCTTATGAGCATTATTAGTTCTTGAACCCTATATTCTGACTCTTCGTAATTAAGTCTGCTCCTAGGAGGAAGTGGTATTCTAAGGAATGGAAGAGAGAAGGAAATCGGGTTTGGTATTGCTTTGTTTGGAGTTCAATATGGTGATACAATTTTGATTTGAAAGAATGTTTTTATTATTAGAATGGTGGTTTGATGTTCATTGGTAGAAAAATGGATTGGTGAACCAAGACCGCAATACCAGCATGAGTTCTTCCATCTGGTTGATCAATTCTGTAAACTTGGTATTATGATACATTGAAAGTTCATTTACTGGTCAGTCGAGTTTAAATTAATAAGGCCTAAATCAATGTTTCTATCATGAATCAAGGATGTTAATTCATTTGTGTGGTTTCAAGCACCATTGGCATTCCAAAAGAAAATGGATGAGCCTTTAATGAATGTCATTTATTGTTTGTGTATTTTTTTCTATGAAGAGAGGAAATTGGATACAAGATTAGTTTGGTGGTATATGAGTGGAGTGACAACTGATTTAAACTAGTTGATTCTGTCATTCATTCCCACCAACAATTTTTAAAAAGGAGACAGATGCATCCACTGGAATATTTCTCTGAGAAGTCTTTATTTCTTCATTCTGCAGGTGATTGGAAAAAGGCTTTGTTTTAATTTCTTTTAGGGTGGCATTATTTTTATGAGTAAGTGTCCTTTAAAGAAAAGAGTACATACAACTGGAGTTTCCTGCATTCACCGGACTTATGCTCACCACATTTTTCTCATTGAGGCAAATGGTGATGGTACGATGTGGTGTTCCTGTACGCTTGACTGGAAAATGTCACATTTGGGATGTGGTTTTTCAACTTTAATGTTTGTAATATATAAGTGGATTTGTTGATGTATTTTCTGTAAATAGGTGTAGGATTCAGATCTATGAATAATTGTGGCATATGAATTTTATTATTTCATCCTGGATGCTTTCTATTTTCCTTTAAAATATTAGTTATATGAAGTACTTTGAAGCTCAGGGGATGGGGGATGGCAATTCCTCCACAAGTACATCAGTTAGTGTTGTTGGGTGAAGGCACCTGATAATTACCGAGATGATTCTGCCTTTGTGTCATCTGAATACATGACAGTAAGGCAATATGTACGTGAGGTATCTGGTATGATTTTTGTATTATTTATGCTTACATTTTTTTATCTTATGCCTTGATCATCTTGAGCTCTTTCGGCCATGCGACGATTATGCTTACATATGTATACGTATCTGCATTGACCTTATTACTTACTAGGGGGTGTAGAAGTTTAATGTTATTTCATACAAATAAATACTTTGGTAATTGACTGCCTCCATTGCGTCTGTGTCAATTCTAAATATTTTACAACAATTATGTGAGAAAAATGGAGATCCATCCACCATTTAATGAGAAGAGGTCCTATGTATCCAGTGTTACACAATTGGTTTTATATGGTTTTTGTTTTGCCAGTGAATTATTTTTACTTAATCTCAGGGAGCTTAATCTTTAGATTTTAAACATTTAATCATATCTTATACATTGTCTCTCGGTTTGTCTTGTTGGTAGGTCTGTCTCTTGGCACCTTTTGTAAAGATTGCCCTAATGAATTATTTATTTTTACTTTGTTCTTTCTTTGACAGAACACTCCAACTAAATTCTCTTCTTCATGTCTTGTCATTTAAGAAAAGAAAATATATATATATATATACTCTGTATAATTTTAATTTTAATAGCAGCAATGCTCTTACCCCACGTGCCAAAGCTATATGGAAGGAGTGGGGGCTGTGCCTAATAAGGCTGTATCACTACTTCAACTTCAGTTTTAATGCCAAATTCAGTTTGTTTGCTCCAAAAATATAAATAGTAATGCTATTCACAATTTGATTATTCCTGGCATGTTCAAAATCATTAGCACTTTTCACTGTAATAATAATAATAATAATCTTTTATCTCAAAAAGTAGTAAAGAAACATAAAGATGATGTCATATCTTATACAAGCCAGATCTTAATGCAAGCACAGAGCTCTTTTTTTTTTAATATGAAAGATATAAATTTGTCTTATTTCAGATAGCAAAGTCAAATTAGAACTACAAAATTTGAAAGACGAAATAATTTGTTCTCAAGATTCATCTGTTAATATTTCCTTTGAGGATGAAGAAGAACAGCTTTCAGTCAAAGCATTTTGTGAAGCTTCTGATCCAACAAATACCATCAGTAAAGGTTTGTTTTTGATTTCTCTTTAATAACATGCATTTTGCTTTATGGATTATTACAAAATAGATCTGATGAATAACTTTTTTACAATCATGTTAATGGTATTTTAAAGTCGAATTTCAGCTTTTAAATAGCCATAACTTCGATATTATATTCATCCCGAAGCAAATTTATTAATTTTCAACTTTATCTTTTTTAATGTATTCATATTTTAATATATTGAACCCTTTTTTCATTCATTATTTCACTCCTAAAAACCCATCTCCTTCTCCATTAATGGGATTCCTCTGTTCTAATTTCTTTTATCTTCCTTATTCACCTTGCACCTCTTAAGACCTCTACTTCTCAACAACCCATCTATTTCCTGGACCAAGGCAAAAATTAGAAATTGGAAAACTATTTTCTGATTAATTGAAGAAATTCTGCTAAGATTAATTTCAGACCCTTCTGTATTTCTAATCACTATTCCTCTTTCAAATCTCTACAAAACATAACTTCCATCTATACACTGTACCAATGCTTAAAATTTTTGCTTCTGACCCTTAAGCCAAGTGGAAAATCCTTAGAACTCTAAATCTACTTATTATCCTGTTAATCTTCACCAGGTTAAATGTCTGATGTTGTTTCTCTTCCTCTGATGTGCTTTATCTTAATGTTCTCACTACTCTATCCCTTAATTTTTATTTAGGGTAAATGCACCAGTAGCTGACACGCTTAAGGAAATTTCTTTGAACTTTTACGTTTAAAAACTTAAAGATTGATGTTATTGTATTTTTCATGGATTCATCTTATATAATTATTTCTTACTTTACCAAGACATATTTCAAATCCATGAAACATTTATCTGAATTTTAAAAAATTGAAAATCAAGTGAATTGTTTTGTTGTACCAGTAACTGACACTGTTTGATTTAAAATGTTCCTATAGCTGACAGGGATGAGTAAAAGGATGCAACTAAGGGAAATTTCATACTAACTTCTTGCGTTTTCCTATTTAAATTTATCAATAAATGCTGGTCACTGTCAAGAACCTGTTTTTGGCAATAGGAAAACCCATTTTTGCTTTATATTTAATCAAAATCATTAGACTTTTTTTTTTTTAACGAGACATTAGGGAATTGTCCCATTTTCAAGACTCGTTATATTGAAAATATCTTTGAATTTATGAGAGTACAGGCCTGTCAGCTACTGATAAAAGTCCCCATTATAAGGCTCCAGTAGCTGACACCTTTTAAATATTCAATTCCTTCATCAATATAACTTAAAAACAGATAAAATATAATTTAATAATACCCCAAAAAACAATCAAATAAAAATTTTGGGATAAATCTGAGTAGTTAAACAGAAAAAGGCAAACCTAATGTATGGTGCACTTACTGACAGATGGTTTTTCCTGGAACACTTAGTGGACCATGAGGGACCTTCCTAATTTTTCTCTTATTATTTTGGTTGCAATTTCCATCAAGATAAAGCAAAGCAGTCAAATATACAAGAAGAAAACAAAGAAACAAAATTGTTCCTGTGCTACTCTCTCAACCACACCACGGGTACTAAAGCTACCAGAGATTGATCGAGAGCACTTCTGAATAGAATGCCATTGCCAGAACTCCAATATATGTAATCTACAGAAAGTCGCGAGGCCTTTGCCATTTCAACCTTCTTGGAGAATTATAGGGATGAGTGGTGCTTGATAGGGATTGTGCAAGAGGATTGGATGATACATAAGGTTCTGGTGAAATTTGAAGAATTTTTCTGGGATAAGGTCTAGGAGGACAAATGGGATGTTGATGTCATGATGTAGGGTTTTGTTGGTTACATAGAAAGGAGCATCGACTATTGTTCAAAGGACTTTTGGCTGGAAGGATTGGATGTGTTTGATGTTAAAAAATTTTGCTGTTTCCCACAGTTCTAATCCGTGAGTCCAAATTGGTTTCATTATTGTCTTGTTGATCAGTAACTTGTTTTCAATAGAAAGTTTAGACTATCTGTTTAGTATTCTGTATAGTTGGCCGTATCGTCGGTTAAGCTCCTGTCTTTTAAGTCTAGTATGAGGGTTCCACGTTAGTCGTCTATCTAAGAGAAAGCCAAGATACCTGACTGTATCTGAGAAAGGAAGCTGGATGGTGTTAAAATAAACTGGTGGACAGGATTTACAACAAAGGGTGAAGGTTATGTGTTTACATTTGGATTCGTTTATCTTAATTTGCCATTTCTTACACCAGTGTTCAGTCAGGGAGAGGTACATTTGTAGGTTTAATGACGCTGTTTTAGGATCTGAGTTGGTTGAAAGGACAGCGGTATCATCAGCGAATGTTGACACGAAGGTATCGGGATGGACAGGAATATCTTCAGTGAAAAGAATGTAAAGGACCCAAGACGCCCTGAGGAACACTCGCCTCAATTAAATAACAGTTGGAAAATTCAGTACTACAGTGAACTTGAAAGGAGCGGTCAGATAGGTAGGATCCGGTTATTAGATATAAGGACTGTGGTAGATGGAATTTAAGCTTGAAGAGCAGTCCAGCATGCCGTACCCGGTCAAAAGCCTGTGATAGGTCCAGAAATGCACCCGAACTTCTTACAACAAAAGGATGCTTCTTTTCTAGGGCTGAGGATTTATGGTCTATAACTCAGAGTCTTTGTTGAACAGTGGAATGTTGGGAACGAAATCCGAATTGATAGGTTGGAATTTTATGGATTTCTATTATGGGTAGGATTCTTTTCAGTAGGATCTTACTGAATAATTAGCTTGAAATTTTCAGTTTACCCATTAAATAAAAGCATGCATATAGCCCATTAAGAATCCATGTATTTCTCAAAGAACAGTATGTTTCTGAACAGAAATAGTTTTTTAGATTACTTTTTGTAAATGAGGCAAGTTTTCATTTTTATTTTTATGAGAAGGAATTGGTCGGGAGATGTGGTCAAACAAATACTAAATTTTAAAAAACAGTATTTTTAATTACGTCAACATAATTACCGCACTCCCCAACTAATTCCTTCTCATATTAAATCACGGTCAACCATTTTTATGTGTACAAGTGGTGATCTTATTAAGAAATATATTCGCTAAATATTGTTGCATTATTTATGTTATTTATCTGTGTACATGGCACAGGCAACTACACTTTTTTTCTGTTTATTTTCAAATGTTTGTTTTGGTGTACAATTGGTGATATTATTAAGACATGTTTAGGCAAATATTGTTTTAGCGTTTATTTTGTTTGTCTGTGTACATGACATATGTACTCACATTTTTTCTTTTCTTTTAGATAATGAAGGTAGTTTAGATGATAATGGCATTAAAGAAGAAATAATTTGTTCTCAAGATTCTCTAGACTCTTCAATTAAAAATAAAAAGTGTACTAGTCAATCTACTAAGTTAAATGAGATTTTAGGTTTTACTAAAATACTACAAGAGGAAGGTAAAATTTAATCATTTTTTTAAATCCATGGTATAATTAATACTTTGTGAATATGTCATTATTTTTTTTGTTCATTGACATAATTAGATTGTTTTTTTAAATTAAATACTTTAATGTATTTGGTTCATGGCATAGGTTGACTACTTTGTTCTCCATTTATAATTAATATTTTGTTTATTTAAGGCCACGAAGGTAATTTAGATGACTCTGTTATTAAAGAAGAAATACTTTGTTCGCAAGATTCTCTTCTGGACATCTCAATTAAAAATAACAAATACATCATTGAATCTACTAAATTTAATGAACTTTTGGGTCCTATTAATATATTTCAAGAGAAAGGTAAATTATAGTTTATTTGAACCAATTGCACAATTAATATCTTGTGAGTATATTACGATTTCCATGTTCAAAGGATATAATTACAATATTAATTTTTTTTAAATAAAAATAATTTCTTCTATATCCAATTAAATATCCATTTCTTAAACGTTTTTGTCATACTTTTAATCACATATACATTCAAATTATTAAAAGTATTAATTAAATTGGTTTATTCTGAATAAATTTGTTAATAGTGGTTTGAGAGATCGAAAAATAATGTTTTTTTTTTTTTAGGATGGTATTTTTTTTTAATAATCTATTTATTGAATAATAATACAATCAGCCACTGCTGGAGGGGGCTATAAGTATTTGGGCTAAAAGTTCTCATTCATACAATATATACAAATAATAGAGAAATAAATATAAATATAAAAAGTAAATAAATAATACTGATGAAGAAAGTAAATAAAAAGAAAAAAATAAACAAATAAAATAAAAACTTCTAAACACAATCATACCTATATACAATATATACATTCGCCCTGGAATCTCCGAGCCAGGCTTTTTCCCCCACATGTGGAAGGCAAAGCAAGACTCCAGGAGATCCTAGTGCCACTTTTCCAGCCGCATCACTAGTATTAGAAGCCAGTGGAGACTGAAAGAGGGCACTAGAGCCACAGACGCTCAGGACATGAGTGGAGAAGCTGGCCATTGCCAGGACTCCAGATGCATATTTACAAGAGATCTCTGGGCCACTGCCTTTAAGGAGGATTGTAGGAATGAAGGGAGCTGGATAGGGATTGAGCTAGAGGATTTGGATGATGGATAAGGTTCTGGTGAAAGTTTGAGAATCTGGATGGGATTATATCGAGGACAAATGGGATGTTAAGGTCATGGTGTAAGGTCTTATTTATGACATAATATGGGGCGTTGTCTATTGTTCTAAGTACTTTGGATTGAAAGGATTGGATGCGTTTGATATTCGAATGTTTAGCAGTTCCTCACAGTTCAAGTCCGTAGGTCCAGGTGTGGTATAGGTTTCAGTATGGTCTTGTAGATTAAAAGTTTATTTTAAATCGAAAGATGAGATGTCCTGCTTAGTAATCTTTATAGCTAGCCTTATCGTCGGTTAAGTTCTTGTCTTTCAAGTCCGGTATGTGGATTCCAAGTTAGTCTTTTGTCTAGAAGGAAACCAAGGTAACGGACTGTGTCTGAGTAGAGAAGTGGTATTGAATTAAAAAGGATTGGCGGACGGGATCTGCATTGCAGGGTGAAAGTGATATGTCTGCATTTTGATTCATTGATTTTGATGCGCCAGTTAGGAAGGTATTATGTGTAGGTTCCCAATTTGGGTGGTACCTCCTTTCCTTTCCTCATTTGATATTTAAGGCTTCTAGATCGTGATATTGAGAAAGAAAAGTAGCATTTGGGAGTAATAAGAAGGTTTACTATGACTTTGAGTGTCTTGGTGCAATCTGACTTCCTAGCTTGCTGAAGGGCATACCAGTGATCGGAACATAGATGTTAAGACTTATTAGCAGCACTTGGTTATGTTTCCACTATTTAGAGAATATTCCATGTGTACTACTTATCCAAACTGAGAAAAAGATCTTATGAAGATCTCAAAGCATGTATACTAATTTTCTTTAAATCCTTTCTAATGAAGACATAATGGAAAATAGTTGATAGTTAAGGAACAAGCACTGGTCGCATCTGCCATCCATCCAAATTAATTTGCTTACCAATTAGGCAAGTTCCAAGAGAAGGTGCCACATAATTCAGCTTCATGGATTGAAAAATCATTAGTCCGAAAAGAAATTATGATAGGTTATTCTCAGACTTGCTGTGCAAAAGGTGTATTTGATACAGCTCCTTATTGTTTCCATTGCTGACCCTCTATGTAAAAGAAATATTATATTAATGATCTAGTCTCCAGATGAATTATTACTTTACTTGAGGAAAGAATTCTCAATTTGGAACTAGGATTCTCCAAACTGTTAGTTTAGCCTAGAAGCAGATGACCACAGGCCTAACCAAGATGCATGGCAGATGCCATCTCTGCTACTGTGGTGTCTGGTGGTTATCTTCACTTCTTTTTTTCTATCTTGTTTGGCATTGCTACATAAGGTGTTTGGGATTATCTTTACTCTCATCTCTTAATGCTCCAAAATTTTAAGCACAAGAATATGCAAGAAACATAGCTATCCTATGCTGTCTGTGGACAAGCCTATTTACCTCAGGTATCAGTTGATATTTTCTATTTTAGTTGTCTTTAGTAGCTATGTTAATCAGGAGGTTGTAAGTTAATCATTACAGCCCTTACAATCCATAATGTTTAACTGATTATTAGAGAGCTGTCCAGATCAATGATAGTGAGGAAAAAAATTAAGTATTTCAAAATTATAGAAACTTGTAACAGTTTATATACTTGCACATTTTAAAATATATAAATCTATCTAAAATATTGTTATCAGAATGTCTCCTAGTTAGGAAGTTCATGGATGTATCAGAAAATTGGTATGGTCGGAATAAATTAGGAATGAGTTGGTAATTCACAATCAATTTTGCAAAAGTTGGAAATGTTATCCTGAGTTTTCAACATTAATATTTTTCTTTAATTTCAACTGTGGGATATATGAAGCCAAAGTGGGTGAGAGTATTAAGGGTTTCTCTCTACAACCTCCTCTCTGTCTTTGAATCCAGTCAGAGGGGGATTCAAATTTATTTCGTAGCACACACTAGGAGCAATGAATGTCGACCTCATCCTGACTAGAATGTTATGCTTGATAACACCAAATTGCAGTGGAGGACATTCCTTCTCAGAATTAAAATGAATCTAGAATCAACTGAGAAGTATGTAGCTTCAAGTCAGATAAAGCAGTTTACTTATGATGTTGATAGAAAATGATAGACTTCAGAAAAAATAGACTTTGAAGGAGTAATTCATAATTTTGATTATCAAAAATAAAATAAAATACCTCTAATAAAAGATTAACATTTTTTTCTACAAACATTCTTTTCAAATATTAAATAAAATGATTATTTTAACTGGTATGTGTTGTTTATTTCTGTTGATAAACAAAATTTGTTCAAAAAACTAATTCTCTAATCTGGAGGGCCTTCATCTTTTTTAAGTGTCATATACCCTTTCTTCCATTTTGTTAGAGAAGGACCTAATTGGAAAAAACTACCAGAATGTACATTCAAATCTAATCTGAACATTAATGGAAATTCTGGTGGACTAGCATTAAGGTATTTTATTTAACATCAACCAACAAAAGGGTAATGTTTACATCTAGAAAAAGGCAGTAATTATATTATCACATTAAATGGGGTCCAGATCGACCTCCGCAAAATCAAACACCTGTGGTATAATCTGTATCCATGTAGAAAAATTACATATTAAGCAATGGTCTGTAAAAGAGTAGTAGGCAAAACTTGGGGCTTGAACCAAATATGATCTATTGGTTGTACATCAGTCATTAGACCTGAGGCGTGCATCATGAGGCGCAAAGCAATGTTGAACAGATCTAGAATACAACTGGAGGAGCTAGAATGATTAGCCTATTTCCTGGATTGTTACTAAAGTCATAATGCATGAACACAATTCTTATTCCAACTCTCATAATTAATCCTATAAGAATGTTTTTGTTGCAACTATTTATGCCAATGTTTACTTTGACTAATCCTTTAATTCCTTGTGACTTGAGTTGACTTTATGGGGCCATTTACATTTTTAAATGCATGTGCAATGTTAGAATAAAAAATCATGATTCTCGGTCTTTTGAGACATTACTGGAAAAAGGTCTAAGCTTAAATGCAATTGCTGATGAAATTTTCACCGGAGACATTACTGTAAATTTTTTTTTTGGCTGTGAACAGTTTGACAGAGTTTATGCAGTTTTGAGGGCAACATACCCCACTTTGATCAAGAGGAACCAGCCATTTTACAACGCAACAATTCCCCTACATACCCTTCACATTTGACCAAGGAAAAATTATCGGAACTGCAAGCAGTAAATGTTTTGCTTCATCCTATGTTTAGCTCAGATATAAACCATCATATTATGTTTTTTAAAATCGATTTCTCATTTTTAATTCAAAAGTTAATATTTCTAATTTTTAATTTCATCTTTGATAATTACAAGGACATAAAATTAGATGTAAAGAGTTCTTTGCCTCAAAACCAAAGGAATGATACCGGCATCAAATCCAATTACTGGCAGAAAGATGGATGAAAATAGTTGAAATCAATGAACTTTACTTTGTAAAGTAGTATTCAACAATGTGTGAGATATATAATATGAAATATTGTTATATTTATGCACAAGAACTTTTGTAACAACCTAGTGATGGTAACAGACGATTACTGCATGGAAGTGGTGCTTTGTCTGACTCTATTATATATGGAAGCTAAGACAATACAAAGTCTTTAATACTATTTTATAGGAAGTCCTGACACTGACACTCGAAATTAAATCAGCTGATTGATGAATACCCTAAAATGTTCAAATCTGAAAGTTAATATATCTGCCACACTAGGCCATCTCTTCCCTTGACACAAAGTGCTGTGTCGAAATATACAAAACTAAGTAGCACAAACCAAATAATGGTGTCAGCTGCTATTAGAATGGCTCTCTCATTGATCAGGGGTGAGTAACAGCCATTTGGAGTGGTATATACATTACACAAGATGGAATGTATATACCACTAGGCAAATACACCTGAGTATATCAGTGTGAAATACTCTCCATCAGTTACTGTGGTATTACTTTATCTAAGAAAGGGCTGGAGGTTGGATTTATTATGTTCTACATTGACAGCTAGGCCATGATATGATCGTTTAACTTAATTCACAAGCAAATGATGTAACAATTAAATCATCATGATTGGCCCATTTCATTTAATTGATAGTAAACGTTTATCAAAAATTGAAATGTATGTATATACTCCTCAAGAACAGTAGAATAAGTGGTAAAATCTTTGAACTGATGAGACAAAATTGATTTTTCCTATTTTCTTCACATTACCAGAAATTCTGATCACTATGTGCCTCTAAACTATTGTTAAGATTATAAATATGATCTATTATTTTATATAGATATGACTAATGTTCATATTACCTCAAAAAATACTTGAATACTGCTACAAGTCCAAACATTTAATGTTTAATAAATGACTAGTTTTATATTAAAATGTTTAAAACTTATTCAAAGAATCAAAACCTAAAAGGTTTTTATTTAATAAATGAAGCTACTGTTGGATTTTAATTTAACTTACATAAGTTGTACTTTATGAATTTTAGATGAAGAAGATAAGATGTCAAATAGTGATGTCCATAAAGAAGAAATCATTTGTTCTCAGGATTCTGCGAACTATTGTTATCAGAATTATGAGAAAGAATATGAATCTGATCAATCTTCTAGTCCTAAAACATTACTATGTTATGAAGGTAAAATTATCTATCATCTTTGTTAAAAACATTTATGAATAATTAATTTTCTATTGTAGGTTCAGTTTTGTTTTGGAGGAGTTGATGCTAAATTAAAAATGAGTTATTTATTAGGCTAATAAGCAATCTGTTATCTTTCAACTGGTTTATCTTTGTAGCAGATGTAAACTGGTGTTTATATGGAACAAAATAGAAATATTGGAAATATAATATTACTTAACTATTATTGTTTTGTTTTTAAAATTTAAATGAAGAGTTTTTCACTGCTGTTACATTATAGATTAGTTATTCATTAGGGTAATAAGCAATTTTTTAAAAAAACTTTTATGTATTTTTAGCAGATGTAAACTGATGATTATGTTGAACAAAAAACAATAAATATTTGAATACTTGATGTTTGACTGTTGTGCATTATCGAGGAAGGAGATGGTCTGGGGTGGCGGTCATCAAATGACTAAAATATTGAAAAAAAAACTATTTCATTTCAAGCTAACATTTCGACCCAACTTTGCAGGGCTTCTTCAGGGCCTACATGTGGGGGTTACATGATATTTAGATAAAAATTATAAACAGAGTGGGAGTGGTAGGGATAAGTAGTAAACTAAAAACAAGAATGAGGAATATTACAACATCTAAAATTTGAAAATATTGATGAATACAAAAAAAAAAAAAAAAAAAAAAAAATACAATATCTATGGGTCCTGTTAAGTGAAGACACAGAAACTATAAAACTAAACATATCAACATTAATGAACGCGGGTAAGGAACTAGGGCTCGAAATAAACATGGATAAGACAAAATATATGGTTAGCTGCAAAAATGGCTATATCGCTGGTGATATTGATATAGAAGGTAACGTGTTTGAACAGGTAGAGAAGTATCTAGGGTCTACCATAACTAGAAAAAAACGAAATTGAAGAGGAGATTAAGGTAGGCTGAAGGCGGGAAATGCTTGTTACTTTTCTGTGACAAAACTACTTAGCTCACGTATCTTGTCCCGGAATTTAAAGACTAGAATCTATAAAACCATTATTCTACCTACAGTTCTTTATGGGTGCGAAACAAATGGGCTTGTAAAATAGTTGGGCTTAGTAACGAAAGAATTCCTAAAAGGTTGATATTTGCTGTACCGAATGGTAAATGTCCCAGAGGTAGACCGAAGCGAAGGTGGGAAGATGGCGTTAGGGCCGATTTGAAGGGACTGAGTTTGGACGGCGAACGGTGGAGGGAGGTGTATAATAAGCGATTGGTGGTGTCGGCATCGAACCTCCGGGTTCGTTAAGCCTATTATTATTTATTATTATTACAATATCTATGAACTAATTAATAAAAAGTATATACATGCAACATATAATTAAGAAATTATTGATAGGAGTACAATGCAAATACAAAATAAAAATGAAAGACCGTACATAGAAGTAGAATGTAAATATAAAAATAAAAAGCATAAATAATTAGAATTAGAATTTGTTGTATATATTTTAGAAAAATCAAAACATTAAATTAATGTGGTAAGAAAATTACATGTACATACTAGATAAAATTAAGAACATACAGAATGGTAAAAAAATTATAGAATTGGTATGAGAATTACATTTACATACAAGATATAATTAAGAAATTATAGATAAAAGTACAATAAATACAAAATAAAAACAGAAAATTGTAAATAGAAGGAGAATGTAAATATTAAAATAAAATGAAAGATCATAAAATATGGAAATAATTAAAAAATTGAAGAAAACAATTAAATTAATGAGATTTATTATATATTGTATTATTTATTTTTTATCCATTTTTAATTTACTAATTTAACTTGAGCATTCTTCAATTTTTTAATTATTTCTGTATTGTATGATCTTTAATTTTATTTTTATATTTACATTCTACTTCTATGTACGGTCTTTCATTTTTATTTTGTATTTGCATTGTACTCCTATCTATAATTTCTTAATTTATCTTATATGTATATCTTCTTACTCGGCGCTACGGTCCGCGAGGGACCTGGGTCTCCTTCACAACTCTGCCACTCCTTTCGATCTGCTGCGGCAGTTCTTCACCGTCTGATTCTTAGTTGTCTCAAATCCGCCTCTACATCATCTGTCCACCGGATTGGTTGCCTGCCTCCCCTTCTTCCTCCTCCAGGTTGTCCATACAGCACTTTCCTTGGCACCCTTCCCTCCAGCGTACTGTGAATAGTAGGACCTTCCTTGCCTAAAGCTGCATTGGTACTCTCCGACTTCTCTTTCCATGTGAGTGGTAAGTCTCCGGTTGATGGCAGTAGAAATACCTTGTAGGCCACATTCAATAGAGAAATCCTTCTGTAGTTAGAACAGCAGAGCTTGTCTCCTTTCTTATATATGTGACACATAACCGTTACTTTCCAGTCCTCATGGATTTCTTCTTCTGACCAGATATCATATATGATCTTGTAGAGCTGGTCCCATACTTCGTCCCCACCGTATTTCAGCAGCTTCGCTTCCCATCTATCCCAGGAACTTTATGCATCTTTAGATTGCTCACAATCTGCACGATTTCTTCCCGATCCGGTGGGATGACATCCTCATCTAGTTCCCCAGGTTGAAACTTGACAGTTTCAGGATCCTGTCAAGTTCAGCTTCCAGTGGCCCGGCCCACTGTCATCAATGATCCTTATTCAATATTCTGCCTTTCTGCTTTATTCAATATTCAATCCCCTGAAATATTCTGTCCATCTGCTGACAACTTCTTCCTTATCCTTATCTTAGTTGTTATAAAAGCTGAGGCGAGGTTTGAAGCCTTCCTTCTCGAGTCTCTCACCTCCAAAGAAACCTTTGGTCTTCGAATTTTTCCTGAATATTTTCCAGCTTCTTTTCTTCTGCCCACAGATTTTCTTTGCTTCCTTTCTCTTGTCACTATACTCCTTGGCACTTCTAGTGTGACACTGAATCATCCTATGCATCGCCTCTTTTCTTGCTTCGAGTATTGTCCTGCATACGTCATCGAGCCAGTTGTTTCTTGTCGGTCTAGGTTTTTTGCATAGCTCCTCCATTGATGCTTTATTTGACGCTTCTTTCAGATGTATCCACCTTGAGGAGACATTATTTGTTCTCTCATTACTTCCAAGTAGCTTAGACACTTTCGAGACAAATCTTTGTCTTGTGCTTTTGTCCTTCAGCCGTTCCAAGTCAAAGCGAGGCGGACTGCTCTTTGTCGTGCTTTCATTGCAATTTTCCACTTATATTTTATTTTGACTTGGTGGTGGTCTAATCCACACACTGCTCCTCTACAGCTTCAGACGTCTTGAATATCCGTGGCATGTCTTGACTGAATCAAGTTTTTGACTGAATGAATATGTAATTCATTCTTATAACATTGTTTCTCCAATGTTAATGGTACTGGTAGGGGAATAAGTCTGGTAAGTGGTTATTGTGGTCCTTTTTGCCAACCCCTGACAGCTACCTAGATGTTGCCACAATATACTAACCAGAGTGGGAGTGTCAAGATTCATTTCTCCAGTCAAACCTATAACATTCAGAACAGACTCTGAGACCCTCACCATAATGTGCTCAGCCAACATCTTCTTCAATGTTAGCCCAGATTAAAGGGAACTCATTGACTACTGAAAATTTATGTCTATTTCCCCATGTTTTAAAATTATTTTTATTAGATATCAATTATTATTATTTACAGATAACAAAGATAATTCGGATTTTGATAAAAGTAATGAAGACATAATTTATTCTCAGGATTCTGATATAAAAATATCTGAGAGTGACAGTAATCATTTTTCCAATGCATTTGAAAATCCAAATATCTCTTTAAGTCCTTCAAAAATTTCTGTTAAAGAAGGTAAGTTTTATGATTGTTATAGTTATTTTATTACCATTTTTTTTTTCAATACTAAACTTATTACCTCAGTCAATTGAATGAATTGTTAAGTTAAAAAGTGAATATCTTAAATTTTTTTTTTTATGTTTTATTGATTATATACTGTCAAGAAATTTAATGTCCATATATATAAACTATTTATAAACGTTTTATTGATTATTCTCCACAGGGAAGCGAGCAGCAACTATTGACTTTGATGTTTCAGAAATTGATGAAAGTTCTGAAAGAGATCCACTCGTAACTTTGGCTTCAACTACTAATTCATTGGTATTTCTCATTTAATTGATTTTTTTTATTGTATTGTATCTTGTCTTTACATTATTATTCTATCTCTTTGCTCTGCATGGATTTCTAATAATAACTTTTAGATTTTATACATTCTTTAGGAAAAAAATTAAAATTCCTATTTATTTGTATTTTGTATCATGGTATACATATTTTATTTGATATTGGTATTGGTTATTTATAAAAATCTTATATACTGTTAGTCCAGTGTAGATTATTTATCATTATTGGTCTGATTTAAAAATTAATAACTTTATTTATTACTTAAGAAAAGAATGCTTTTCATATGTATACTTTTTTTAGCAGATAACAACTACAGTTGAAAAAAGAGAAGCGGTGAGGTATTCAAATGAAAATAAACAAAAATGTAATGATCCAATTGGTTCTCCGACTAGTGACAATCATATTATTAGTCAAACAGAGCTTCATGATCCAAATTCAGAGTTTCTTATAAAAGCACCTAAGAAGTATGTTTATTTTTTTAAGTGAGATCTTAATTTTATTCATTTATCATTAAACTATTGTTGACAGATTGTTTTTCATGTGTACTAGTTTGTTTATTTATTTTTTTACAATGTAATAGTGGTAATTAGATATCTAATCCACAATATTTCAATGAATAAAATTGTGTATTTAAAAAAGTTATGTTTTGCACTATTTAAAATTTTGTATTATTCAGTCTACATCTACTTCAAGAATACATGATCCTGTAATGTAATTAGAATACTAAAAACTCACAGTATATTAAAAAATATACGTTAAAGGATTACGTTATTATATGAAAATGATTATTATTACATCTTTATTATTACAATAAGTAAAGATCTTCATTTAATTTTTTATAGATGATTTAACTAAGATAATCACTCTCACAAAGTTTTTCCACTACGATTAAATAATTTGGAGAATTAAAAACTTTTATTTTTATTGAAGACTCATTAGCTGTTAAAGGCTTTAATATTGCTTCTCGACTCTTTGTTTATTTCACATTTCGGGTTGGCCAACAATTTTCATAAGCAGTTGGACTATTGAAACATTTAATTTACATCATATGCTATTGATTTTTTTCACCTTATTATTCTTATCATAATATATATATGACAATATTTATAATACAATGTGAATTACCTTTTTTATTCTTTTGTATTTTTTCTTTGTATGTGAATGTTTGATGTTTTATATTTAAAATGCATACTCATCTTTAAACTTTATGTTTAATTTGTCTTTTGGCAAAATTGTCATATTGTAGATATTTGTTCATTTTAATAAATAAAATAAATATATTATTATTTCTCCAATTGAAATAGGTATTTTAAATCATTAAAGTGTATATATTATAATAATATTAATATTTGTCTGGTAATTGATTTAATTATTTAATAAAATAATTAAAACTAAATCAAATTTCGAATAAATTAAATTACTTTATATATTTACAAATAATAATAAATAAATAAAACAAATCCATCCAAGAAATGCTTATGTGAGCAAGAGCTTCCCTCAAGGATTATAGGTCTAGATTTTCTCAGGTGACCAGACTACTGGGAAGCCGAGTTCACAATCTGGATTCACTGCTCTTATCAGGCATCTCTATCCCTTGCCTTAATTCATGTTGTATTTAAGATAAAACTAACCCCTGTCCCCTTACTTCTACCTTGTCTCTTCCCTATCTCACTATACTATGTTGATCTATTTATTTACTAATTTCTTTTTATATAACATTTATTATCGCATTTTTAACATTTAGAGTTGTATATTACATTTCGTTTTTTTTTTTTTGTTTGTTTTTAACTTACTATCTAAAGTAATCCCAAGATGTTTTACTTCACTACATATATTTAGTATTGTCCCATTTAATGCTGGTGGTCTAATGTTAATATTTCTTTTATTAATGAAGATACAGAGGTTTATCTTCTGCGGGTTTATGCCAAGGCCATTTTCCTGGCACCATTTCTTCAGAAGTCTCATAGTATTTTCGAGCAATTCAAACATTGTATCTGGAAACTTGCCTCCTATCAATACCACAATATCATCTGCGTATCCCTGAGAATAAAACCCGCCGCATTCAATTTAACAATCAGGGAGTCAACTACTAAACACCACAAAAATGGAGACAGCACACACCCCTGTGAACACCCTCCAATAAGTTTAAACCACAGTACAGATAGTCCTAACTCAGATTTAAGGATTCTACCCCTCACAACTGAATTAATCCATTCCAAAGCCACATGTACGACCCCTCTACTTTCCAATGCTCTAGCCATTTTATCATATATGATACGTTCAAAGGCACCTTCAATATTAACAAAGATACCCGTCATAATCTCTTACTACAGTAAGGTTTTCTCGATTCTAGAGACTAAATAATGCAACACTGTCTCAGAAAATTTGCCATCTTGATAGGCAAATTGGGCAGAGTGTAACAGTCTTTCTACTAATGTAGAGTCCCTAATGTGTCTATCCATAATCTTTTCCAATGCCTTCAACTGAAAAGTAGTCAGACATATAGGTCTGTATGCTTTGGGATTGTCACTCTTTCCCAGGCTTAGGTATATAGAGTATATACAGACTCTTGCTTCCCTCCACTTATTAGGGATATATGCAAGTGCTAAGCTACTCCTAAATAACTCCAAGAGATAGGGTGTAATTACAGGTAAGCCCTTTTGTAGCAGGGCTGGGAAAATCGCATCGACACCAGCTGATTTGAACAGTGCAAAAGAATTGATTGTCCATTCAATTATCCTAGAATTTACAATTCTTTTGGCTTCAACCCACTTGTCTTTGCCACAGATGTAGCTATCCATAGTGGGATTAACTATGTACTCATCAAGAGCCAGGAAAATGAGCACTCGCCAGAGCCTCCAGAGTACCCTTGAACTCTGACCGTGCCAATGAGCGACCCATATGTTTGCTTTGACAAGATTTTATGGACTCTGGACGTGGATGATGTGTTATTAATGTCACTACAAAAGTTTCCCCACGCCCCCCTTTTTGCTCTACGTACAACCTTATTATATTCAGTTAGGGCATGCTTGTAGGTATCCCATCTGCCCGTATTCTTGGCAGTATTAAAGAGTTTTCTAGTTGTGGCTCTTAGCTTGTCAAGTTCATAGTTCCACCAGGAAACATTCCTGTTGGATCTGATGCAACTGACATTATTATTGTCAGTGTAAGACCTCATAATTCCTTCATATAATGACGACTTGAGGCATTCCAAATACCAAGAGTTCCTAATGATCTTAGGACAGCATTTGACTTCTTTGAACTGTATCCAGTATATCTTCCAATTGCGCATTTTGTGTTTCTGTTAGACCTGGGCAGAATTTATTTGAAAAATATTGCCGGAATAAATCGATAAATAAACCTCAATAGTTATTTCTGAAATAATTTATTTCTTGAAATAACTTGAACTTATTATTTCTGAAATGATTATTTCTGGAATAAATTATTTCAGGATTAATGATATAATTATTTCAGGAATAATTTTGTGAAATAATCATTCTGATCGAGGGGTGCTTATTATAAAAATAATGTCAAATTTGAGATTGCGCCATCCCCTCATCCGAAAAGTTACAAAAGGTCGATGCTGGCGGGTGGAGGGGGGGCGCAATCTTAAATTCGACAGTATTTTCATAATAAGCTACCCCAAAAACACAATAGTCGATCCTGATATCGATTAAATCCGAACAGTTACAAAAAGTCTATGGGGTGGGGAGGGTAGCGCGCAATCTCAAATTCGACCATATTTTCATAAGCTACTCCGAAAACATAATAGTTGACTCTGATTTCGATTAAATCCGAAAAGTTACAAAAGGTCGATGCTGGCGGGTGGAGGGGGGGGGGCGCAATCTTAAATTCGACAGTATTTTCATAATAAGCCACCCCAAAAACACAATAGTCGATCCTGATATCGGTTAAATCCGAACAGTTACAAAAAGTCTATGGGGTGGGGAGGGTAGCGCGCAATCTCAAATTCGACCATATTTTCATAAGCTACTCCGAGAACATAATAGTCGACTCTGATATCGATTAAATCCGAAAAGTTACTAAAAAGCCGATGCTGGAGGCAGGGGGGGGGGGGACACAATCGCAAATTCAACAGTATTTTTATAAAAATCGCTTCCGAAAACATAACAGTTGACCCTGATATTGATTAAATCAGAAAAAGTACTTATTAAGGTAAAAAGTACTCTATTAAGATTAATATGTCTCAAACAGCATTAAGTAAGGAGTCTTAAGTCCGCCCAATCTCAGGAAACGAAATGGCTGTCGGGTACACTGAACCTGTACAATGATTAATATGTGTCAAACAGTAATAAATATGAATGCTATAGTCCACCTAAGTGCAGGAAACGAAAAAGGGCCATTTGAAAAAATGAAAGATACTAAAAGATACTCATCTCTCCGATTGTTCTTAGAACTTCCCCAGATCTTATGGTGAGCTTGGCATCCAGTCCTGCAATCACCACTTTTCCCATCCTCTCCCCTAAGCTTCTGAGAGCCCCTGTAGGGATGTCCTCTTCGTAGGGGAGATACCCTGCCGCCACTATAACCTTCTCCCCATCCTTACTCTCAGGACCTGTTGAGCTGTTGTCAGGTCCCTGAAACAATGATGCCACAGAGGCATCAGCTTAATTCTATTCTTGAACAGGATACAGATTCTTGGACACTCAGGCACTGCAATAGCTATACCCAGTCATGTCCAACCCCCTTATCCTGTTCTCGAACAGGTAAGGTTCTTGAATCAATATCCTTACCTCTAACATACTGCAGAAGCACTCCACAGGCTGGCACACAGTGATAGAGATTCACCAGCAACAGCTTAACCATCATTGCAGGAGGACCACCCTTTGGTGGGACACCAGTTCTACCAGCCATACCCTCCTCTTTAATTACAGAGAGCTTGGAAACTTCAGCTGAGATAGTCTCAGTCGAGCTTCTTGAATTTTCCTCATGAGGGTCCATCGATGGCCCCTCCGAGTATCTCCCAGCCACTTCCTTCTCTTAACAGTTCCATTTCTGTAAGCAGTTCTGTGTCCATTTTTGAGTCATTGCCAGTGATATCCATCCGCGTTTGTTTGTTACATGGTTCATTAATTTTGTTCCCACGAGTATGGGAGTGGTTAAAAGGTCACTACAGATACTACCTACCCCCTCTCTCTGCAGAAGGCTAATTACAATGGGGTGCGCCAGGTGCCTCAAGTGGGTTGAATTGACAGTGTGTTTTTATTTAAGACAGCTCAAGCTCACTCCACCTAGCTTGGTTGTAGAAGGATCCACACAACTGTTCTCTAAATTAGAGGGCAGAAGTGTGGATCCCCACCTCTGTGAGTCCCATCAGATTCCCGGGGGGTACCACAAGAAGGTGACAGTAGGTGTTGATAGGGATAGGGAGGACTGGGAAGTCACAAGCAGTGGGTATGGCACTATTGTTTGATCATTCAGCAAGGTGTGGGGGAGATTCCCGCACCCATCTCCCTCTCCAGCCCTCCTGTCACTCTACCCATTTGAATTATCAAATTCTTTCATATTTTATATTTAACTATTTTTTATTTCAAAGATTAATGTGAAATGGTAAATTATTTCAAATAAAAAAAAAACAATAAAGGTACTTTAGAGGAAGCTAATATTGGAAATTAGCCATTTAAACCTTGTTAGAGAACATAAATGAGAATAACACCTACATTATATTAAAAACTGCTTAATAATACACTGATATACTGAGTTTAATCAAAATAGTTAAGGCCATTTTTGAGAAAATCATAAAAATGTGTTAAATCGATGATATAAAGTACCACTTTCGGTTTGCCAATTTCAACGAAAATGTTGTAACATCCGAGGCCTATGAAAATCTTAAATACGCAATTTCAGTTGCGTCAGGGAAGAAGGATTGCAATTAATTCTGATATCGCCCCTTCCCCTACATTCTGGTCCTCCTGATCGAAATTAATACCGGGCCGCGGTGGTCCAGCGAGTTATTAAGGCGCCTGCAAAAATTTAATAAGTTTAAAAAATCCCATTCGTGGGAATAATATTATTAATAAAATAATTAATAAGTACAAGCTCTACTCGACAACTTAGACCACTGTAGGGCAGGTTCGATTCCCGAATGGAGACGGTAATATCCCCACCCAGAGATTCATGGGGAGGTGAGCGACCCCTGTGTCTTACACCAAACCTCGTGGTTCTCAAGGTTTGGGGTTAGGTATAGGGCTGGTATGGTAATTCCCTATCCCATAAAAAACTGGGTGAAAGATTGCTGCAAAAGATTTCCAACAACCTCATGTTCCCTAGATATCTCGAACAAGAAAAAACCGAACATCATTACTATCACCTATAACAGGCCTAAAAGCTGCTAAAGAAGACTCATGACGAAAAAGTCAAAATCAACAGGCGTAAGAAAAAAAATAGTTAGCTGGTTTTGAAAATGGTTGGCCATCCCCGGATATATCCCGTATATCCCGTTGGACATCCCGTAAGCAAATAAAGAGGTGGAAATTTATATGAAGGCCTTTTATTAATTCTGCTTACACTGTTTTATAAGTCATAACTTTTTTTTTCAGGGGAACATTGTTGCAAAGAGCTTATCATATCATATCTGATTTAAAAAAAGAAGCAAATTTATTATCTTATGAAATACAGGTTGGCTTGAGGGCATCAAAAGGAGCATTTGTTTCTGAACCATTGATTATTCAGGATATTTACTTTGAAGAAAAGAATTATATTATCTCATGTAAACCAAAAAATATTGAAGGTAATACATTTTTATAACTTTTGTTAAAACATTATTAACTTGTGAGTTATTAAGACTAGTAGGCTAGGCCCGTGCGAAAAATTCGCACAGCATATAGTTATGAAATGAAAAATTAATAAGAAAATAAAAAAATGCAATGTATCAAAGGATTAAGGCATCAAATGTTACTTTATCGATAAATATAATCCACAAAGTAAACAAAAATTAATATAAATCTTCATTTTTGTTTGGAACCAACATTTTTCCAAATTTCAGTAAGCTGTATCTTTGCCAAAAATTGTCCGATTATGATGATTTTTTTTTCCTTTTGTAGGGAATTTATTAATCTTTTATATAATCATGGGCATAACCAGTTATTCGCAAATAAAGTTTATTTTCTTTCATAACTTGTTTGCCTGAATTTTCTGGGTGATTGGACTATTTTGCTGGCCTGAAGGAGAAGGAAGCCTTCGAAATTGGTGGCTCAATCTTGAGATTTGGTGAAAAATTAATGATGATATGGCTTGCCGATCAAAAACACCATCGATAAATAATATAAACTCCTCCTCTCTCGATCATAGAGTCGCCACTCAAGTCGACGAAATGAGACATGTATTCAATGACAGTACTACAATTAATGTAAGGTCGTGTGGATGCGAACCCTATGCCTTGCGTTATCTCGAAAATAGTACGTTTTTGGGGTTAAAAACGCAGGATCCGATAGTTCCGGAGGAACTATCCGGGTCTTGCTGTACGCATTAAAATCTTCAAGATCCAATTTAGCCCATATCGATCTACAGACCTACCACCGTTCCAGCATTGAAGCCTAGCGAAATGTTTGTATCGACTTTATTTATTTTAGAAAGAAAAACGAAAGTGGAGAATACGATTCGCTAACCTCCGTGAAATTCTAAATCCAACGGTACCCCATTCATGGTATTTGAGCATGACAGGAGCTTATATTTGGTACAAAACCGATTTCGAGCCTTACTGTAATAATACATATACGGATAGTTGTCATGAGTACCATTGATGTTTCATAAAATGGTTTGATTCTGTCAAATTACACCAGAAATAATCATGGATCTCAAACTAACAAAATACACAATTTATAGTCATGTATCTCCCTAAGGTAAAACGCTCATTATCCTAAGGTAAACTAGTTCGGGTCTCCGGGTAGGGACTGCTTTAGGGGATTTATGGCATAAGTTGAAAAATAGGGATTTAGGTATTGGTATGTACAACGTAAGGAGTTTGAATTTAGCAGGTGGGCTAAAATCGGATGCGAATGAGGTTAATGGGTCCAATTTGGATATTGCGGCTCTCCAAGAGATCAGCTGGCCAGAGGAGGGCTCGATAAGGAAAGGAAAGTACACTATTTGGTATGGAGGAAGCTGGAATCATTGTTTGGGTACCGGGTTTCTATTCTTTAGTGATAGAATTTCAGTAGCCATATTTCAGGGACGTTGGTTTAAAATCGCGTTAATAAACATACATTGTCTAACCGAAGACAGTGACGATGAAGTCAACTGCGAATTTTACGATAAACTTGAATGAGTTTATGATCTGAGCTTATGATCTCTTCTGTCGCCACAGCTTAAAATGAATTTACATTATTGATTCTCTTAATTTACGATGTTTCCAGTATACATTTTATATTTAATGCACTTATTAATTTTAATGTATAAATGTTATAATTTATAAGTTAATTCTCCTATTGTAAGTTTTTATTTTTACAGTAATGATTAATGAGGGCAATTTTAAAGGAAGCATTTATTTGATTATTTCAAATCTAACCATGGATATGAGGATTAACAGTGTTATAGTCATCCATTTCCCGTTGTAAGTATAGCAACAATATCCACTACAATTTTATTTTAACCAAAACCAGAGGAATATTTATAGGACACACAAGAAAATATTTGTTTTCATTTGTTTATACTTTCATCTTTGACTGTACCCCAATCAACTTCTACTATTTGATCTACGATCAACAATACCTCACCATTATTTATAAATCTAATTTTTCATGTCTAATAAAATTTAATGTTCCATACATCATTAAAATTCAGTTTTGAACCTTTGTATTTAATTGAAAATAATAAAATATATAGAAATAGAAATTTAGTTTCATAATCTGAAAAATTGAATTTATTTTAATATTTAAATTTGAGATTGAAGGTATAGACAAAGTGTTTTTTAAGTTATAAAAATGTTCAAGCTCCATTTTTTTTATAAATATTCAAATAAACTATTGAATATTTAATTAATTTTTTTTTATTAGTTGAGTATATAAATTATATTTATAGGATATTAGCAGTTGTAAAATATTTAAATATTTTATGCTTATAATTATAAGTTGAATATGAATAATTGTTTCATCATTCTCTCTTAAGTTATAAAGTTAAGCGACAAACCTATTAAAAATATAAATTTTATGAAAATTAATTTTATTGTTAGCCTGTGATACTAGGGAAAAAAAATGCATAGCAAGTTTTGCATTTAAAATTTTAGAACTTGTAGAAAATTCATTTTGGAATTAAACCACTGATTTTTAAAACAACTTCAAAAAATTTTCCAAGTGGGGAGCACCCAAAATAATGTTCAATATCTTAATACTTACATAAAATATTTTCAAATTTAATTTGAATGTACTGTCACATTTGCACACATAATACGTTAGGTAACAGTTTATCCAAGGAAGGAAGTGGTGGAAGATCGCCCAACTTTTCTGCAAAATATCAGTGAGTAACGAACCCACTTGTATGTCATCTGCCATCTAGTCAAAATCTCTCATGGTCGCAAGATTTCAGCATTTCTTAATTATACTAGATTGCCAACTACGGAGTGAAAATATATGCAAAACAAAAATAAAAATAACAGCATCAGGCTTCAGTAACTTTAATTTATATCAATTTTAATTTCCTATATCGGCAGCCACACTGCAAAAGCCTGTAAGAACAAAAACTAAAATTTTTCAGGAGACGAAAAAACTGCATATCTTTTGTCCTATGAGCATTTTCTGTTCAATGTTTTTGCTCGCTTGAGACAAAGATGTAATGCTCTGCGTAACTTGTTTGATCGTATTTCTGCCAAATAATCTTTTAGAGCCATTACTTCTAACTAAAAGCTTTTTAGTTAATTTTGAAAAACAGGCATTAGTTAGGTAAAAACAATCAAATTTACTGTAGTAACATACATAACTCTGTTAATAATGATCAATACATGACAGGAACAAAGTCAGTTTCCAAAATGAAGAGAAATGATACTTAAAATAAAAATTTGTAAAAGATTTGACTGGAAAACGAGTATTCGATCACACTGTATTCACTTTTTTGTCTCCCACTGTTCAATACAGTTCAAACACAGTTCCCACAGTTCGGGGGGGTTCAAACACAGTTTTGGAGTAGTCTATGAAAAATTCGCTTTTAACATACTCAACTTTATATGGACATGGTTTGATTCTCGAATACTTGGTAAGTTCTAGGCAACCTGCTGATGTGTAGATCACTTTGTTTCTGAGCTTCTAGCGATTTCAAAGATTCATTTGTTTAAAAATATGAAACTAGAGTTCTTTTTTCGTCTTGTGTTAAATTTTCCAATCAATTCTCTTTCTCTTACTATCTGGAACTCTGCGGCATTATATCTTTTTTTCAGCCAAGCTCATTTTTCAGTGTCCAGGAGGTTTCAATTGTTTTGAAGACCGTTTAATATTATATTCTCACTTACCACTCTCTTCTTTGCTTGACCTAGTTCCGTGGTAAGCAGTGCTGGCCTCAGAGCAGGGAAACCCGGACATTAGCCCAGAGGGGCCGGGCTGGAAGTGTCTGCCACTTATTAGAAATTGAAAAAAGAAAATAATACGAAGCGTATGAGAAAAATTAATTTTAGCTTATTAATAAAGCTAATGGATACTGTAGTCTATGCACAAAATGTTGTATACAATTTGTAGTTACATGACCACTTTTCATTGAGCATTTCATTATGTTTTTTCGGTAATGACTCAATCTCTATAACTTTCACTGTAACTTACAGTTTTTTACATCAGTTTGCTGTTTTTTAAATTACATGTTTTTACAAAGGCCATAGAAAAGAAATGAAACATCGTAGATTTCATTTTGTGGGATCAGAATATACGCCAGAACAGGATTGACCAGAGAATCTCAAAACCTCATTTTTCATATAAATTGTCCTTATAGGCTTTTGCAGTTTGGCTGTCAATATGTAAAAAATAGTAATATTGATTAATTAGTAAAGATATCTTACATTTAACCTCCAAGTTACTTCATAGATCTATGAACCATAGTCAAACCTCAATTCTTCTTTTTTAAAAATTTCTTGATGCTATTTACAACTGTATTAAAGAAATACATTTAGTAAATTTGAACATATGGATATAATGACGTGAAAACACTCGTTGAGAGACTCAATGGTAACACTCTAATGATATGTCTACATTAGGCCACGGGGCCATCTTTTTTTCAGACGCCTCGGAGGGTTATCAGGAATCGAAGAGGAAGCAAGGTTAGAAACGAGAGGGTTGGGATGATTCTAAAATTTATTATAGAAGGATAGGTTTCTGGATTGGGCCAGATTTTTTTATTTGGATTTTTCTACAACTTAAGGAGTCATATTCCCAAAAGAGGGATGAATAGACATTTTTGTGATTTACTTTAAAGTATCTATCAGTAAGGTAGGAACGTATAATAAGGAAGTATATAGGTGGTAGGAATTTTCAGAGTTTGTACAGCAGTCCTGGGTGCCAAACTCTATGTTTAACGTTGAGAAAGACTCCCATACAGTACATTCCGCGCTCCAATACAGAGGAGACGACGTCTACCACACGATGACATTGCTATATAGTGGAATGGGAAGTACGGAATCCAAATTGGTGATCTGGAATTAGGTGTTTAGAATTTAGGATGGGTTTTTCTAGGAATTTGCCCATGATGGGTAAAAGACAGATAGGACGGTAATAGGATGGGTATTCTGGTGTTTTTTTTTTTGGGTTTGTGGATCATTTTAACAATAGATCGTTTCCAAGGATCAGGAAAATATGTGGAACGTAGTACAAACCTCAATCAAAAATTTTACTCATTGAACCCAATTTATAATTATAAATTAATATCATTTTTTATTTTATAAATCATTTTCAATAATTCAAAATTAGTTGAATATAAAACATATTACTATATATATAGTATAATAATATGTATTATAAATTTTTGTGTAATTTTATTTTTTCCGTTAAATGGATTTTTCAGCAGTAGTGGGATTTGCACATGTCACTGCTACTGACCAAAGCTCTCTTTGTTTTATTGTTATTTTTTAATATACTTGGTTTAGGATGTGTGTATTTAATTTGAGAAAGATAAAACAGGATTATCTGTGGAGCAGCCAGGTGCACGGCTGTGTACTTTCTGGTGGGACTGTCCATTATTTGCTGCCCTTATGGTCCAGTTGCTCTCAACCATACTGGGCCTGCTTTCCTCCTTCCATCTCCTCATCCTCCCCTACTGTTCCTTCAGTCCCACCATTGGCTTTGTGGTGCCACAATAAATTATAACAGGTATAAGTATTTTATATATTTATGGCAACATTACATTTACGCTGACCTTTTATTCACCAAGATAAAGTCACATTCTAATTTTTTCTTAAATCTTCAAAATTTTCTAAGTACATATTACTAAATAAAGTTTAGAATATTGAGGGGGAAAAAAGTATTTTAACCCTTATACATTTGATTAATGCTTTAATTAATTTTAACATCTCGACAATGTTTAGACTTTTTTCTGTTTTTCCCTTTTTGACAATGAAAGAGCACAATTTCAAAAAAAAACATTCGATACATTTTAAAACTATATTAAATTTACTTTAAAATTTACTATCTGATACCAGATTATCTTTGGTAAACCTAGTAGGTTTCAAACTACAGCTTTTCAAAAATTGTAAACTTGAAAATTTTAAGCTATAATAATTTTCATGTTTTATCTATCATGCACACTTGCCATTGTATCTTCAATAATCTGTCTGATACACGTTACTAAAATAATCATTTATTCTATTTAAAGTTTTGAAGAAGTGGGAATGTATGGTGGGAGAAAATTATAAATGAATAAATACAAAAATTATAAATGAAGTAAATTAAAGTGTAAACAAAATGTGAATAAAAGGTGTTTCCTCCGATTTGAAGGACTTGGACTGATCAAATCTGCCAATCCAACTCCTTCAGTGCCAAAACCGTGTCCTAAAATCTGAATATAAGATAATATTGTAACATATAATGTAGGTAGTATAAATTGATGCCATGAAGGAGGTGGATTTACGTGGTCCTTATCCTTCAAATCGGAAGAAACACCTTTAATTTACATTTTGTTTATACTTTCCTTCGTTCACACTTTTTGTATACACTTGATGTAAATGTTTAATGGTGTTAATATGTCTGATAAATCAAGAAAGATATTATTGTTCCCATCGATGTAAAAAGACTTTTCTGAATCTTAATTCATAATAATTTTTAATCCAAATAACAATAAACATGATAATGAGCTTATATTTTTGATGTTCTATATTATTTTTTAAAAATATAGCCTTGTTTTATTTTTCAAACAGTTTCTTCTTTAACTTTTGTTAATTTATCAAGATCTCCACTCCTGTAGGATCACAAAACCTGTCCTTCTGTTAATTCTTCTCTATTTCTGATAATTTCTCTAATCTTGCTAGTGATCAGCCTATTTTTCGTTCCTCAGGCAGCTTCCTAAGAATTTCTATTGTTTTCTGACTTGAGTTGTAAGGTTATGAATCACTTTTCAGAACTACTACAAAATAAATAGCTGATCCTGGTTGGAATTAACCCATATTGCTATGAATCAAGTGCTCTTTTACTCTCACCCAAATGTGCTCACCTTGTTGGAAATCTGAAATCCTCATTTTGTAATTTCTGTACTCAGTAAATTTAATTATTATTTTTTTTATTAATTGTTGGTTAATAAAACAATATTTTTTATTAAACAATTAACTTAATAATTAAATAAGTTATCTTCTATTATTCACTAAAAATAAAAAAAGTTCTATAACGTATTGAATATTTCAATTATTATCTTGGGAATAATAAAGGAATAATTTTAAGTTTGTTTTATAATAATAATAATTATGAATGATTGATATTTGTAGGGTAGCTTTGCTTGGATTACCTGTGATGAGGGTTATTCTATTTGCTGAAAATAGGATCCAGGTAATTTCTTCTAACAGAGTAACAGGTAATTATTATTAAGTATTTTTAATATTAAGAACATCATAATAATTAATTTTAATTTGATTTAGAATGATTTTTTCTAAAATTTGACAGTTTAAATAGATAAATAAATATTTTTTCTTAACTATAAATATTTTCATTTTACTGACAAAATCTGATAGAAACCATTTTAACATTTGAAGAAAATATGTTTTCATTATTTAAAAATCTTCAACTAGGAAAATATTTATTCTGTTATCACCATCATCATCATTACTCCACCAATCTGCTATTTTAAACCACTTATGCAGTGTCTATAAAGCTCTCTCCAACTCTACTAATATTCCACTATGTTCTTATTTGGCATCACGACCCACTTGATGAGTTATAGCCTGCTCAAACAAGGATTGCCAGTCCTTTCTATTGTGTTCCACTACCTTCTGAATCCTTAAACCATGCTGTTTGCTGGAGTCCGCTGCCATACAATCCTCCCAACAAAGCTATGGATGCTTGGCTCACTCCAACGAAATTGTTAATGGAATCTCTCCCTGGTTCATTCTAATAACATGACCAGCCGAATGGAGTCATGCGAATTTAATGAAGGTAATGAGTTTGACTTTGACGTCTTTACAGATCATGCTTAATTTGGCATTTGTCCATCTTCTCTAGTAATCCTGCTTACATATATCTCCATGCATTCTGTGGAGCACTTTCCTTTTGAATCTCAGAAGGGTTTATTCTTGGGCTTTAGTCATCCTAGAACATTCTGAGCCGTATTTAAGTACAGGACTAATAAGCATTTTATAGATCCTTGTTCTAGTGACTTTATACAATATGCTGCTCCTTATATGCTTTTGGAGGGCAAAGTATGTATGTGCTGTTCTCAGAAAGAATGTGTCACTCTATTTCTTTTTGTATATAATTCTTTGTAATTGACTTGGGCCGTGACAGTACTTTCCCTAAATCGTACTGAACCCAAGATCCTTCATAGATTTTAATGGTACAGGTTTTTTTTTTAATTGCTTCAAACAGATGCTATTTTGGGCTCCTGAAACATTTCAAAAGTAGATGTCTCTCGAAGATCACCTAGGTTTAGCTTTATAAGACCCTTATAAGGCATGTTTGACCTATGCTTCCGAATGTTGGACGATCTCTCAAACTCAAGAACTAATCTCCTAAGATTCAAGGGCGAATCCTAAGAAGAATCCTTGGGCCAGTGTTCAGCAATAACATTTGGGGACAAAGAACTAATTCTGAAATAGAAAGAATGTATAATAATACAAATGTCTTCAGATTCATAAGGATTGGATGGCTGCTTTGGGCAGGCCATGTTGATGTTGATCGAATGACAAATGACGAGGTCCCAAAAAAACTTTTATTAGGAAGATATATGGCAAGAGGAGAGTTGGAAGGCTGAGACTGCGGTGGGCCGATGGAGTGGCGGACAAGTAGACCAGGAAGGACGGGAATCTAAAAGTTCTGCAAGATAAACAAAAAGTGCAGAAAGATTTTGGTCACAAATGGAGAGGAAATACATGAAAGAGAATCAGAACTTCTTTTACTAAGTTGTTATGGAAATGAGGAAAGAATGGTCACAATATCTGAAAGGAATCAAGAATAAAGATAGGAAAATTATCTCAGGAAACAAAGATATCAGGAAATGAGCTACTAAAAAGAAGAGACTTCAGCTCACATGAGATTCAGAGTGGATTTCTATTGAGATATAAGTGGCGATATCAAGAAAAGAGGAAAAATAGAAGGGAGCAATCTTTAAGATGATACTTGGTAAGTTAGTAGGTATGGATGATAACTTACAAAATGATGGGGTATATCTTAATTCAGCAATAAATAGGTGAATATCTTAAACTGGTTTACAATTTAATAGGTTTTTAATTTATGTAGAGATGTATAAAGCCATTCAATGTAGTAAACAGAAATAATTGAACACAAAAATTTACTTCATAGCTAGTTAAACATACTATAACATTCTGGTTATAAAATTATTCAGTTATAAAAATGTTATTTAAGAAGTGTACATTGGTACTTCTTCTTCTTCGTTTTTCCTATTTTGAGAAGTAATAAGTGATGTCCAGTTTTCCTTGACCATCGTAAAAGATGTCAGGATACTATGTGCACCTTTCGGCCAACATCTCCGACTTCTGCGTCATTTGTAGGGTTTGTTCCCTCACAGTTAATTTTCTGGTCAGGACCCAGCCGACTCTTACTGTCTTCGGCTCCATACCAGTACTGGTAGCACTACTGCTACCAGGGATATTTATCAACCTCCCAGTCTAGATCTGCTGTGTTCAGTCCAAAGCAGAGCCACCTCAGGCAGGATATGGTTCTTCACTGCCCACGGACGGTCTTGGCAGTAGTGTCCTTGATGTCTCCAGTCTCTAGGTCTCCCCTAGCAAAAGGTACTACCTCTCCTCAGCATCTTGACCCCACATTGGTACTAAGAATTCTGAGATATTGAAGCAGGGGCAGGGAGTAGATAAGAGAGAACTTCATGTTTTTCATTTTCTCCTTAATATCTCGAAAAAAGGGGATCATAAAATCTTCACTGCATATTATGTGTGTTTTACTGTATATTTTATGGTTTTTATAATTTTTACATTATATGATAGGGGCCGTGGTGGTCGAGCAAGTTAAAGCACCTTCAAAAATTTTATATCAAGTGTTCCAATCCCATTCGTGAGAATTAATAACACAAAAAAAAAATTAATAAATTAACAGTGCAGCCCCTACTCAACTACTTAGACCACTGCGGCGCGGGTCAATTCCTGCATGGAAATGGTAACTTTCTCACCCTGAGATTCATAGGGAGGTGAGCAACCCCTGTGTCTTACACCATAACTCCAGGTCCTCCATGTTGGAGGTTGGCTAATCATAGGGCTGATAATTCCTTATCCCATAAAAAAAAAAGAAAAAAAAAACTGGATGGAAGATTGAAACAAAAGATTGGCAACCACCCTTCAGGAAAGTTCCTGATGAAGAGGGAGTGAAATTTAATCACGTCTGGTTAGTAAACCACGTGATCTCTAGATATCTCGAAGAAGGGAGAACCAAACGATCACTACTGTCCCCTATAACAGCCTTAAGCTGCTGAAGAAGATCCATGACTTAAAAAGTCGAACTCAACAGGCATAGGAAAAACAAGACCAAAAAAAACATTAGATGACTTATTCTTAGTCTATTTAATACATACAAATCTTAGCTCTGATTAGTTTTTGTTGAACTTAAATTGTTATACAGTTTGGGTTTTTGCTACTTTTCACCTCCTTTCAATACGAAAATGTCTATTTATTCAGATATAGTAAGGCTACAACAAATTATTTTTTAAAAAATTGGTTTCTCTTTTAGTTTTAGCTCACACTGCACAAATTCAATATGTCTTTAACTTAAATTTCTCTTCAAGATTTGTGCCATATGTAAAAACCTAGACACCTTATAACCATTATCATAAAAAGTTATATTCATTGAAAATTTAATACGTTTCATTGATTAATCAAACTTGATTCATTTATAACATATTGTCACACCGACTTGAAATTGCATATCATCAATAAATATAAGATTATAAATTTTATACAAATGAAAATAAACTCATCATTTAGAATTTCAAAAACAGTTGATTAATGTATTTAGTAAAAACAAGACATAAGCAGTAAGAACTTTATAAGAGTTTTTTACACTTTCAATAGATAATCAATCTTGATATTGTATTGTACATGCATGTTTGACGTTATTCACCGTATTTTTTGTTTTAATTTTTCAGGTTCTATAGATATAAATTTACCAAATTTAATCATTGGACCAAGAGATCAAAAAATTATGCATATAATAAAGAAAAAAACTTCAAAAACAGTCATTGATGCAATAATTGACCAATTATTTGGAAAGTTCTGCTCATTAGAACTTAAATTGTTGCATATATACAAACAAAGGTATGCATTTTTCTCAGTTTTCTCCTGATAACTATCTTTTGTACTTAATTAAAAAACAATTATCTGCCCTAAACAAAATGTTCTGTTCCATCTAATAAAACTTTAAGCTAATAAATTTTAGCTCAAATCCTTTAAAAGTGAATTACTTTACAATTTCAAACAAGGTTGTTGAAACTGTTATTTTTTGCTAACTTTTGAAAACCTGTTTTTTTTTTAAGGACTGTTACTCATACAGCTGTCGAACTTTTGACTGTTGACACAGAGAATCAATTTTGCTTGGTTAAAGATTCTGAATGTAAGAATGACTCTGTTTTCTTATATTTTATTAATTCATTTAATGCCTCTGTGTGTTTATATGTACATATACATTTATAATCTTCTTTTTTAGATGGTTTTCTGAAAGATATAAATTTAAAAGTGAATAACTCATACTTATTTGTTGGATTTACATTAATGTGTTCTAGGGTAAAAAAGTAAGCATATTTTAACTCTAATGATTTGTAGTTATAACTACGTTTGTAAATAATAATAATGATACAGCTTATATTTTCAGCGAAGTCAGAAGTGCAGCAGAGTATTACTCTTCATTAAAGTTTACTAATAATTTTATTTATGTTGTGGAACCCTGTACCAATTCTTGGAAAATAAACCATTTATCCAGTGCAGCTGAGAAAACTAAAAATTACACATCACTAAATTCTGTTATTAGAAACAAAACGGTACCACCACTTTGTTTTATATTTATGAATGTCAATCTTAATAATAGGTTTATTTACAAAAGTTTACACTATTTGTCTATTTTCCTTTGTCACTAATTGTTTTCCTTTTACATCTGTTATTATCAACTGATACATAAACTTAAATAATATCTATTTCTTATTTATTGTTCATCTAAGTTGTGTAAGTAATATTGTTTTAATAATTTAATATTAATAATTTATTTTATTTCTTCAACTGAATTATAATTTTAGCATATATTTCCATTAATAATCAAAATCATTTCTTAGGGATAAAATTTAATTGTTGAATTTATATTTCCTTTGTCTTAAAATTACTTATTATCATATTATTATTGTTTTAGAATCATGAGAGGTTTAAGTTTCTTCTTAAAGATTACAAAGTTTTTGAGAATAAAATTTTAATCAGGGATGAATCTTTTTCTGAAATAGCAGAACTTCAGTTTGATGAACAATGTTGCGAACATAAAATGAAACTTATGTCTCTTTCCATGCCTGTTGTTCTTTGTGGAATATACTTTTTAAATGGTATGAATTTCACTTTTATGTTGATTCTCCTCAGTGTGATCTATGATTTGTTAATAGAATGGTATTAAAGATAAGATGTTTCATATTTTATTAGCTTACCATCCTTGGATCTGGAATAATATGTTATTTTTAAAATGCACAATCATCAAATGTTTTAATATACTTGTGATACATTGATATTTTACTGACTATATTGATTTATAAAACCAATGTTTTTGTTTTATGTTATACAAAATCTTTTCTAAATAGATTATTGACTGTTGATTTCTATATGTTTTGTTTTTCATTTTTAGGTTGTCTGTATTATGATAAATATAGTCAATTAATAGTTTTGTGAAGAAATATATGATAACAATGAGTACATTTAAACCTTCATTGTTAAAATAATGAATTAATAGAAGGTAATTACCTTAATTATAAGTGTAATTAGTTAAAATATCTCTAAGAAATTTATTTATTTTGTGAATGTTACTGGTTATTTTCACTACATTTATTTTGTAGATGAAGAAATAAATTGGACTGTCATACATCTTTGGTTAAAAACTGAACAGTAAATAAATTACCTATTGTGTAATATCCACATAAATTATAGTATTTGAAGTCTACATATTGTTGAATAGGTGAGAATTAACTTGAAAGCATGACTTTAATGAGTAATTAATTAAAATTTTGTTATTTTATCGTGCAGTTGTTTTGTGATAGATTACACCACCTATGCATATAACTTGTATTAGCCTCTTTGGTTACATGATAAATTGCACCACTTCAGCATGTGATTCATGTTAGCCACTAAGGCAAATTTATATGTATATATATTTATATTTATTGTAAATTAAATTATTATAATTGTTCCTTTTTTTTATTATTTATGTTTATGTTAATTGGATTATTTTTATGTCCAGTGGCTATCTATGAAGTAACGTCCAGAAGAAATATAGTTGTTGATTATTATATTGTGTGTTGTAGCATAAAAAAAAACATTGTATGTTAAGGATTTCTAGTTATTTCAGTAAAATAGTTAGTAGTGTTCCCTTAAATGATTAAAAGTTTATTTTTTAATAAATGAATACTGCCAGTTAATCATTACTGTTGCTATATGTGATGCATAATCTTTGTCTCATGTTATGTTTGAAAATTCTACAAAAAGTTAAATAAATCTTGTGATTATTTTTTAAATGTTGTTGATTCCATTTAATTTTCTTTTGATTCCTTTGACAAGGAACCTATTCGAAACCTTGAAAAATAATCAGTCTCAAGGAAGAGTGTTGGACTGTCGTTTCCTATCACCACTCCCATGGTATAGTATACTGTGGCCAGGAGGTCAAATAGCTATCGATTATAGTGCTTGTTGCTTAAAAGTGTTGAATAAATGTTTAATCATAACTATTTTTTTCAATCATTGCCTCTGCAATCTTTCAATAAATAAAATGGGATTGAATGTGTAAAAATTGAATTGTCAATATCAAGCTAGACCTTTTCGAATTGTTATATATATATATATATATATATATATATATATATATATGCATACACGTACAGGGTTTCTTGTTTGTGTCTAACTAAGTCTTTATCATCAAAACTACAAGTAAATGGCTGAAACACTGTTTGATATGAAATTATTTTTTAATTAGGTGCCTATAAAATAATAAAAGGATTATATGAAAGCATCTATGTATCTGAATCATTATTCATGAATGTAGCTGAGGAAGGGATGCAAGGTGGGACTGCTGCTCTCCGTCTAACATTGATAAAATGAAAACTAAAATAGTAACAAATATAAACAACAAATTCTAACAAATGATAGAAAGTAGAACGTTTATTGTTAGTATATTAACATCCTGACTTAAAGAAATTAATCATGAAAAAAAGAAAATAAAAAAAATTCCTTCTCTTTTTAAAGAAGATTTTTTTGAGCTGGCTACAGCTTTGCTCTCAATTCTATTGGTTTAGTTACATAATTTGATAAGATGCACAATCCAATTAAGTATTCCTGTTTTATTTGTTAAGTTTTAAACTCATTGTATGATTTTTATACTGATTAATAGCAAATTTAATCAAGATGAGTGAATTTCTGGTAATGATAAGAAAACTTTTGAAAAAACTTCAAAGGAATTACTGATGGAAAGAATATTTAAGTAAGCCATGTTAGGTGCTATCTAATTGACATTATTACTTACAATGCAATCTTTGCTGGGTTTTATTTTATTTTATTGTTTATTTAATAAAATTGCTATCGTTATTAGATTTAGCTAAAGGACTAGTCAGATTGATATAACAAATGATCAAAGTTTGAATTATTTATTACTTTTCTGATATGTATGCCCATCCATTATTTAAAACAGTGCTTTCAGTTCAAAAGTGTTGCCATTTATTTTAAATAAGTAATTTATAGAAAAATACAGATCCAAAAAGGTTTTCTTCTCATTTTTTTTTCACCAACTTTTAAGTTGTTTTGTTCAAATTTGAAATAGTTCTACTTTTGTATTATACTGATGTTGACTGATTTTTTCTCCTAACCATTTCCAAATAATAAATCTTTAAAAATTAATATTTTTTTACTGCATGCGTTGATGCTTGACCTTATCATACATCAAGAAGATAGTGTGGGAGTCAGTCAGAAATAATATCAAACAAGTGTTAACTAATTCTATTCCAATGTTTCTTCAACCCATATTATAGATATCTGTTTCGCTCCATATAGGTCCATCCAATGGAATATAGACTCTAGTTCTTGATTTCTTATAATCATGAATGTAAAGGTTCAAATAAAAATTTTGAAAGTATATTTACAAAAATATTCTGTTCCTATTAATGTATTAATTACAATGTAAAAAAAATTACTCAAATAGATTGACACATTAAGTCAATAGATTGACAAATTGATTTTTATATTACCAGTATTTCATTTTTTTACATTAAGGGTGAAATTAGTGTTAAGCTACAGTTTGGCAAAGTTGTTCAGTCAACCATTCTACACCTTCTTGCAAGCCTTCTCCAGTCAATGCATTAGTTGAAAATATGTGCCATGGTTTATCCTTGATTCGATCAAGCCCAAATGCTGTTGCTATTTTTACACTTGACAAAGCTTCACGAACATCCATCTTATTTGCTAAAAACAATATTGGTAACTTTCGCCCAGCTACATCAGGATGTTGAAGGAGTAAATATAGCTCTTCTTTTGCTACTGCAAGTCTTAAGCGATCACTGCTGTCTACAACAAATATTATTCCATCACAATTGCGATAATATCTTTCCCATAGGTAACGGTATCTTCCTTGTCCAGACATATCAAAGGCAGTAAAAAATACATTTTGATCTGAAATATAAACACATAGATAAATTAATGTTTGTATTAAATTAGACAAATATTTTATTAGTGTCTCCTTGATATTCAGGAAAGTAGACCGATGAAAATTGATCTAGCGCGCTTCCTCCATCCACCAATTAAATACCCTTAATATCTTGTTTAGATTAAGCTGAGCATAAAATTTAGAAACGGGCGATTATTTAATTTTTTTCTGAGGTAATCAGTTTAAAAACTAATTGTTTTAAACAGAATCAGAATATCTGTTAACACTAACTTGTTCATTATATTTCTTTAATCGTGAGTGCCTATATTTTTTTTTTTCTTTTCACTTGGTCATTTCGAAGTTTGAAAATAATTAGACGGTTTTTCTTTATTTGTTACATATTAATTTATTGTAGGAAGGAAGGTCACAACGTAAGGATGGCGCAAAGATATCTCTAATGGTTGACTAATTCAACCTTTTAACCCTTATAAAACCACCTTTTGAAAATTGCTGGTCTATCACCATTGTGGAAAATCATAATTTTTGATTTAGAAAGATTAAATGATTAATTATTCAAATCGCAGATAGAGACAATGAAGTTAATATTTCTTTGGAAAAAAAATTGGATTGTCAGCCAATAATATCATCCTCATGAAGTAAAATTTTTATTTTAGTCTTACCTATAAAAACACCGATTGGAGATCGACCATGAAGAGGGAAAATAGTAGCGAAAGAAGAAAGAAACAAAACTAAATTTTATTCTGTGATATTTAGTCCCCTAAGAATAATTATAATTTACAGAAAAGTGACATTTGTTTAGCATTAGAATATTATCAAGAAGTAATTAAGTAACATAATTATCTGACTCTAAAATTAAAAATAATAAAGTACAAGTAAACGTATTAATTTTTTTTTTGTTTGTCTTCGCCTTTTAGGCTATACGGGGTTTACCCTGGCCAGGAGGCGAGGGCGGGTTAAAAGCCCACCAAGCACCGGTATGCGAACTCGTAATTATTTTATCACTTTGTCTTCCATCTGGTTGCCGGGCAACGCGGTGCTGTTCACACGCGTTATCCCGCTCGGCCACCCTGGCCCCAAAACTTACTAAATTGTAGATAAATACACATGAGTGTTCACATATTTGTACTAATAGGCAATATAGATAATATATAAGTATCCATAGGTGCTCATCCTCCCCAAGGTCGTTGTTGCAAGAACCTTAACTCCCCTCCCAAGTTATTTTATTGTTCTATTTTTCTTAAAAACAGTGCAAGGGATAGTAGAATATTGGTTTGCATTATACACAAAGTAAACAATTGCACTTGCAGCGGTCTGTTCCGTGTTTTCCTCTTGCCTCCTGGTTTGAAATTATTCATTCATTCATAGCCCCGTCGACATGTGCCCCCCTTCCCATAAAAATGTAAAACCCCTTCAAAATGTGCCTCCATAAAAAATACAAAACTCCGTCAAAATGTGTCCCCTCAAAAATGTTGAAACTCCCTACTGGACACTCCTGTACCCAATACAGACAAATACAGAAGTTTCATTCTTACATATGTTCCAAAGATTGATTGCTAAGAAAGTGGAAGAATGAATGGTGTTTATAAATGAGGTTAAGGGAAAGGATTTGCGTGTGGAGAGGAGTAAGGAATTCCAAAAAAAGGTAGCACGCATGACAAAGGATTTTTTAAAGGAAGAAGTTCTATGAGAAGAAATAAAAATGTTTGAGGGTGTTAAATGAAAGCACTGAGGAACAAGGACTAAACAAATGAAGAATGTAAGATGGCTTTTTGGTTGAAAATGTTCGGAAAAGGAATACATCTAGGAAGTATTGTCTCGAAAACTGGAGCTACTTACAATACCAACTGGAGACGTGAGCGGCGCCTCGAGACTCCAAAGATAAAACTAATGAAACAATTCATTAATCTCTTCAATCTGATCCCACGTCTACCAGACATCTACGGTATACAGGCAGTGTGTGAATCAAATTGAGGAAAAATAAAAGCGGAAACAAGGAGCTGACGGTTTTAAGTGGGCAAAGAATCATGGAATCTCAGGAACTGTTTGAGGGTAGTAATAAATTTTCGAATAATTTCGGAAATATGGTTGTTCCATGAAAGGCATTGATAAAAAATTACCCAAAGGTTTCTAACGGAAGTGTGTAAGCGAATAGGTAGTCAATTTAGGTAAAGTAGGGGATGGAAATAATAAAATGCTTGGACCCAATGAGAATGGTTTTGGTCTTTTCATGATTCAACATTAGACCATTGCCCGCTGCCCATGCATTGATGCTGCCTATATATTCTTGTTGTTATGGTATCGCTTCAAGCATCTCGTATGAAGCATTGTATGAATGGACAAGTATATTTGGATATCATCCGCATACAGGAGGTATTGTGAATGGTGGATGGAATCAGGAAGATCGTTAATATAAATGAAGAAAAGGGTTGGTGAGAGTGAAGATCCCTGAGGAACACCGTGAGTTAATAAGACGAAGAAAGAAGGAGTTAAGTATTGGGTTTAATGAATATCCCTGATGTACACTCGCACTCACACTAAAAAATTTTGACATTGCATCAACATCGCGAACTGCTGAGGTAGCAAAAGAATATAATGCTGAAGATGGTCATAAACTTGGAAGAAACTTCTAGATTGTATACATTTAAAAATAGTGAAGAATGATCGACCGATTCGAATGTAGGCTTCTGATCAATCAAAAATCAGCATTTTTTTTTTTTAAGTTAATGGTGAAACTCAAAATAAATATGCTGTCGACGATAGAATGCCGATGTGGAGAAAACGTGGAACAGATCAAAACAAGTGTGATTGTATATGATCTACAATTTTGTAATTATACTTTCGATTGCATTGTTTTTATGAAGAGGTTAGCTGTAAAGTTTCTTGACAGGGGGTCATGCGCCATCGACCTTGGGAGGATGGCCATCCTTGCCCCTGCTTGACTATTAACCTATAAATGTGCCCTCAAGAAGAAAATGAATGGAGACTCCTGCTCTGGATATTCTTCTGCGGTTCAAAAAATGTAGCAATATCAAAGATCCTATCAATTTCAGTACCAACTGATATTTGTTAACCTAGGTCAATGAAAAACACCTAAAAATGCCTGATCTAGAGATTTAAATCAGAATAGCTTCGAATAATTCAGAAAAAAAAACACATGGGAAGGAGGTTGTTTGTGAGGTAAAAAAGGGAGTTATAGAGGAAATTATTATACGGGTGTTACCCATAGAAAAACTTACCCAACAGATGTAATAATAACTAATTTTTACATTTTTTCCTAAGTCAATACATCAAGGACAGCAGCTTTCTTATTTTCATTCGTCTATTACACACACATAAGTAACACGCGTAATATATAGTAAGATAAAGTATTGCGATCATGAAAATGTTCGAATCCAAGTATTCAACGGAAATACACGTTTTCAGATCACCAGAGTCCTTATAACCAAGTCCCATAAAATAATCTACGTGCGTGTGTGTGTACGCATGTGTGTGTATGAAACTGAAATTATGTATGAAAGGTATGTATACAGCTGGGATGTCACAGCAACTTGTTCCTGAAAATCGGCTGACTGAAAGTGCTACTTTATATTATCGTGTTTACACATTTTTAGTATTCTTTCGAAAACGGCTATAACAATTTTGATTAAATTCATTATATCAGTGCAAAATTAAGAAGTTTTTAATATTATGTAGGTGTTATTCACATTGATGTTCTCTAAATGACTAATTTTCAAAATTTCTTCCTCTGGCTGGCGGTTTTTAGTGGGCATAGAATCATGGAATCTCAGGAACTGTTTGAGGGTAGTAATAAATTTTCTAATAATTTGGGAAATATGGTTGTTCCATGAAAGGCATTGATAAAAAATTACCCTAAGGTTTCTAACGGAAGTGTGTAAGCGAATAGGTAGTCAATTTAGGTAAAGTAGGGGATGGAATTAATAAAATGCTTGGACCCAATGATGGTTTTGGTCTTTTCATGATTCAATATTAGACCATTGCAAAAAAATTATTTAGTTTTTTTTAAATGTATACAATCTAAGTACCTTTATTTTTTTTATTTGAAATAATTAAGTATTTCACATTCCATAATCAGCTATAAAATATGGCAAAATTGACAATTAACTAAAGGAGAAATAAGAGATCGTAACGGAGAATTGTAGTAATACAGGGAACGATGAAACCCGATGTCGGCCGGAAGGTTAGAATAGGCCTCCATACTCGCGGTTTCCATAAATGCTAACGTTAGTATTATTTAATATTTCATTGAATTGACTACAGCAATATAAAGAATAAATATAAATTTGTATATATACCAGTGCTCAAACTAATAAAAATACCTACAATGAAATATATCTGCCTTCTTTATCAATGGCACTCATGGTTCGATGCCGACACCACCAATCGCTTATTACACACATCTCTCCACCGTTCGCCGTCCAAACCCAGTCCCTTCAGATCGGCTATAACGCAATCTTCCCACCTTAGCTTCGGTGTATCCCTCGAACGTTTACCATTCGGTACTGCAAATATTAACCTTTTAGGAATTCTTTCGTTACTAAGCCCAACAATTTTACAAGCCCATTTGATTTCCGCGATGTAATCACCTTAATTTTATTAACCGGATAAAGTTCACGAAATTCGGAGTTGTGTAACCGTCTAAACTCTCCGATTAATTCAACCTTCGGTCCGAATATTCTATGCAATACTTTATTTTCAAAAGCCCTTAATGTAAGCGGCCACGTTTAGTATCCATAAAGAATTGTAGGTAAGATAAAGGTTTTATAGATTCTTGTTTTTAAGTTCCGAGACTATAGCTAGCTAAGTAGTTTTGTCACAGAAAAATAACAAGCATTACCCGCCTTCAGCCTAACCTAGATACCTAAACTTCTCTACGTGTTCAAACATATTACGTGTTCTATATAGATATAACCGGCAATATCGCCATTTCTGCAGCTAACCATCTGTTTTGTTTTATCCGTGTTTATTTCGAGCCCTAGTTCTTCTTTACCAGTTTCCATTAACGTTTTCGTATTTAGTTTTATAGTTTCCGTGTCTTCGCTTAATAGGACCAGATCATCCACATAGCCAAGCACGGGTGTTGTCCAACCCAGATCCAATCCTTTTTCGGTACGCATTTCCTCCCTAATGACATGTTCTAATGCGAAATTGAACAGAATAGGCGGAAGGGAACCTTGTTTTAAACCCGAACGAACCTCAAGCTTTTCGGATAGATTATTACCGATTTTAACTTTATTGACTGTTTCCGTCAAGCACATTCTTACTATATTTAATAAATTATAATCGAATAAATAATTAAAATATACAGTCGTAAAAGAAAATGGTTAGTGACAAAAAACAAAACAAATAAAATACATTAGATAGCTATAAAAGAGAAATAAAATGAAATGAAAAAATAATTTTATTCTGGGACTACTGTCCCCTAAGAATAATAACAGAGTTACAAATTTATGGTTCTTAGTCTGGCTTAGAATAATAAAAAATACAAACTAATTAACTGTTAATGGTTATTGCACTTGTACTGTAGATTGAAATTAAACATTCTACAGATGCAAGTAATTTTACATGTTTGCGGAAGTTTGCATGTGGAGTAGATGGTGGAATAAGAGTTGTTTGAAGGAATTTGTGGACGAGGATTGACGTATGGAGGTAGGAGGAGAGTTCCAAAATGAGGTAGCACGAATGACGAAGGATTTGCTGAAGGAAGTAGTTTTATGGGAGGGGATATATAAATCAATTGCTTGAGACCTAGTATTAAGAAAGTGGATAGAGGAACGTAGAGTAACGAGTTCCGGGATATAGAGAGGGTTTTTGACTATGAGGACTTGGAAAAGGAAAACACCAAGGAAGAATTGTCGTCGGGATTTAGGATAAAACCACTTCAATTCGGTATAAAACAATGAAACATGTGAACGCCTGGGGACCCCGAAGATGTATCTTATGAAACAGTTCATGAACTTCTTCAGTCTCATTTCTTGCCTGGCAGACAGCCCTCCATACACCAATCAGCCGTGGTCGAAGTGGGGGAATATAAGGGAGGTTACAAGGAGTTGTCTGGTTTTTAGAGGATTTTATCCTCCACCAATCACGGAATCTTAGGAGTTATTTGAGGATAGTTATGGATTTTCAGGTAATCTGGAATATACGGTTACAAATGGTGATTTAATTGTTTTAAATAATATTTCATACCGTCGATCATTTTTACTTTCACTTCCTTTTGTCTGAAAATACTTATTTTCTAAAAAATAGGAGGATAAGTAAAAGTTGTGATGCGCGCACCGTACCAGATTTATTTTTTTTAGAGATGGATCCATGAAGTAGAGGATTCGTATTTTTTGTTATATAAATAATTACTAAGACCCATTTAGACAGCTGTGACACTTTAGTTTTTGAATGATGAGTTAGTTTCAATTTACTCTAAAAATCGGATGACATATTTTACTTTTTAATATCAGTTAGTGTTCCTATATTTAATTTAAAAATATATATATTTCGTTTGGTATGATTATTTATTAAAATGAAAGGTTGTAATTTTTTTAAAAAGTTCCATTTTAGCAGTTCCTGCGAAACTATTTAGGAAAAAGTTCTAGGAACATTTCTAGGTTTATTGTAAAAGTTTAAATATAATTTTTTGAAGTTCTTAAAAAATGTAACATTGAATGAGAAATTAACAGTAATTGGGCTTATATTACAGTTATAATTTATCTTAAATGAATTACTTGATTCCAATGTGTTGTTTGTTTGAGTAGCTGAGAATATAAATCATTTTTTAGATCGACTATTGGGCGAAATCAACAGAACTTTTGAATGGATGTTTTTAAAAAATAAAATTGTCTAAATCCTTTAATTCAAATTTCCTAGGGAAAAGTTCTGGTTTTGAAATAACAGAAAAAAAATAAAGATTCCATTCGTACCGAAACTTATTAAAAATAAAAGTTAAAATCTCATTTCTTGCCCTGATTTAAAATATCAAGTCAATCTATATTATCAATTATATCAATCTAAATTATCAATATCTTACGAAAATATCAAGCCTTGACTATGTTGAATTATTCACAATTACAATAAAAACTCTTATCCATGCTATAAAATGTACAAACAAAACTATTATTACAATTGTATTAGCCACACCATAAAAAAATAATTCATTTCAATGATTTAATGAAGGTATTAAAAGATGAAACTTACATTTAAAATGTTCCACATTCAACCCAATCGTAGGAATTATTTCTGGCGATTTTTCACTGTCATTTTTTAACAAACTAACAATGGTAGACTTGCCACTATTATTCAAACCTATCATTATAACTTTTACAGATTTCTTTTTTATACCAAAGAAGTTGCTCAGTTTATTGAAAAAATTAGACATAAGCTACTTGGTGACGTGATTATGCGTAAATTGAAAAGGCTAGAGTTAGCAATTTTTGACAGGCTATTTTACTTCAGAGAAGAAAAGCTGAATTTGATCACATTGTATCTGTTTTGGGAGTAACCAGGCAACGTTCCCAATGAGGTACGAGAGATCGTTGGCGAGCCGAGGTATGGCAATGCTCTATATAATAATATTTCTATAGCCTTAACTAAAAATAGGAATATCTTTTTATTTATTATATCGTTTTTTTAAATCTGAGATAAGAGTAAATTTATGAAAAAGTAATATTTCTACATTGGTATAAGCTTAAAAGAAAAAAATATTCTTTTAAATTTTATTTGACAAAATACAATATGCTTCACGAATAAGAGTAGTTCTACATCGTAAAATTATTCAAGTATAATAATAATTACATATTTAAACTTCTATAGTTAAAAACTTACCTTGAAGTTAAAAAATAAATTTATTATTCATATTTTGATTTGTTAAAGTATAATAAAAAAAAAATAACAGTACAATTTAAAAAAAATGGAAAATAATGTAGATAATGCAAAATTATTCCAACAAATTTTCGATATTTACCAAAAATAAATATATTTGTGCTGGCTACGGCAGTTCCAAATTTTTATCTTTTCGCCCTTTAGCCTCTGCAAATTCACTAATCAAACAATGAGGTATATTTTATTTGCCACAGATTTTTCGACAGATTAAATTGCCAAACTATTTATTAATTTTAGTTTTGGAAACATATTTCACAAGAAGGTATTTGGAACATATTTCTGAATTTTTTTGTTAACTAACAAAAGGAGGCTTCCTCCCACGAACGTGAAGCCACCGATTTGAAAGAAATTTTCTTGGGTGACTCTAGGTCGATAAATATTAGACCCAAGTCCGAGGGTTCTTGCCAATGATCCCTAGGAGCCTAATATATATATATATATATATATATATATATATATATATATATATATATATATATATATATATATATATTTTTTATAAAATTAAAAAAAAAAATTTTATGTTATTGCTATTTGCCTTTAATTTGCACAGTATAGTATATCATTAGATTTGTTGTTTTTAATGTGAAATGAGAAAAACATATTGCTGATTGTATTAAACGAATACAAATATATATTCCCCCCTCCAAAAAAAAACTTAAAATATAACCATATCTTATAAAAAAAATTATCTCTAAAAGTATTATTGTTAGTGTAACTATATTTAATAGGACTTCAAGAATCGCTTAAACTCCATTTCTTATAGGTAGTTAGTTTTTTTTTTTCTTCCAAAATAATTATCGTTATATATATTTATAAAGTTTTCAGGCTGAAGCCCCTCCCCCAAAAATAAATCCTGGATCCGTTATTGCTTCTTAGCAATTTTTTTTATGAAAACCGGATGTGTGTAATATGTACAATACATACTATATTCTTATTTTCGGAATCTAGACAACACGCCAGGTTTTATTAATGTTATCTAATTTCGATACTCGTCAAGTTTAGGAAAACAATTTTTTTTTTCATATTAGCTATAGTATGAGTACTACTAGCTATGGTATGAGACACTAGCGGATCCAGGATTTAATTTTGGAGGGGGCTTCAGTCAGAAAGTTTTTTTTTTCATATATATATGTATGTGTATATATATATATATATATATATATATATATATATATATAAACGATAATTACTTTGGAAAAAAAAAAAGATATCAACTACCTATATGGAATGGTGCTTAAGTGATTCTTGAAATCCTGTTAAATGTAATTAAAAGAAGAAGAATACTCTAAGAGATAAGTTTTTAATAAAACATGATTACATTTTACCATTTTGGGGGGGGGGGGGTTTCAGCCCGAAAGCCCCTCCCCCATAGATCCGCCTGTGGTATGAGATAATATTGAAACAATTAGTACCTACGAAAGAAGGAAAGTGGTTTCCAATATTTTTTTAAATACCTATAAATATATATATATATATATATATATATATATATTTCCTTTTTTTATTCCTTATAATGGCGTCAAACTAAAAGTTTATATTAGTGTTTCGAATAACAATTATTCAGCTTTTCAACGGTTGTAATAACGTTGAATTAAGAGAAAATCTGAAGGAGTTATTAATTCTTTAGTAAACGGACCGAAAAAAAAATCCTCCTATAATTTCAAATTATTTACTTATATTTAGGTTATTTTATTTATTTTTATTGTACATAGTTTTTATTTATTATTATTTAGTTATTATTTTACTTTTGTTAATTTTATTTTTTTTTTGTATATACGGTGTGAATGTGTTCATTTATCAATATAATTATTGTCCCTGTGACAGAATATTATATATCTAAATAAATAAAAAAAAAAAATTTCAAATTAAAAAATTTATAGTTTAAAACAAATTCGTATTTAAGAGTTTTAGAGGAAACTAGAATCTAATCTGAATCGATTTAACATAACAAAAATTTATTTGGCCTTTTTTTTTTGTTATTTATTATCCATTTGGAGTCGCTTTATACAACCAAAGCATGTTTTTCTTATTTTATATGGTTTTTAAAAAATAAAACGATTCATATGTTATAACCTAAAAATCCATGTAGAGTAAAGGCAGAAAACAATGATAAAAAAAATACCAAAATCTCATGAAAAAAATGACAATAATTCAGCTTTTCAACGGTTGTAATAACGTTGAATTAAGAGAAAATCTGAAGGAGTTATTAATGCTCTAGTAAACGGACCGAAAAAAAAAACCCATCCATAATTTCATATTACAAAATTTATAGTTCTAAACAAATTCGTATTTAAGAGTTTTAGAGGAAACTAGAATCTAATCTGAATCGATTTAAAATAACAAAAACTTACTTGGCCTTTTTTTTTTTTTTGTTATTTATTATCCATTTGGACTCGCTTTATACAACCAAAACATGTTTTTCTTATTTTATATGGTTTTTAAAAATAAAACGATTCATATGTTATAACCTAAAAATCCATGTAGAGTAAAGGCAGAAAACAATGATATAAAAAATACTAAAATTTTATGAAAAAAAAGATGTTCTCGGTTCTTAGGACGTATTGGCAAGACTGTTGGAACATGGGTTTAATACTTTCGATCTTGTATCACCAAAAAAGTTTCATTAGGATCGATGACCCAACGTTCGTTGCCTCCCCTTGTAAGTTAAAAACCTTTAATAAATATGTAACAAATGTGTGTTCCAATATATTCTTGTGAAATATGTTTCTAATTTTTTTTTATTTTTTATTATTATTTCTTAATTATATTTACAACTGTATTAAATAAATACATCTAGTAAATTTGAACATATGGATATAATGACATGAAAACACTTGCTGAGTAACTACCCAATGGTAGCACTCTAATGATATGTCTACATTAGGAGATCACGGGGCCATCTTCTTTTCAGACGCCTCGGAGGGTTATCAGGAATTGAAGAGGGAGCAAGGTTAGAAAAGAGAGGGTTGGGATGATTCTGAAGTTTATTATGGAAGGATCTGGATTGGGCCAGATCTGAAACATAAGAAACATTAAGGTCATTATGGATGATTTTATTTATAACAAAGTAGGGAGCATTGAGGATTTTACGAAGGATTTTGGATTGTAAAGATTGGATACGAGAGGAATTCGATGGTTTAGTGGAGCCCCATAGCTCAACTCCGTAAGTCCTAATAGGCCTTATTATAGTCATGTATATGAGTCTTTTGTAATTAATTGGAAGTTTAGAGCGTTTGTCTAGTAAGTGCTGAAGTAATCGGAAACGTCGAGCGGTTTCTTGTCGTTTCAGTCTAGTATGGTTTCTAAAATTAAAATTAATGCATAGTTTAGCAATTTGATCTTTTTAAAAATCTGTGATAAATAAAATATAGTTCACTGTTTTATTAATGATTTTTCTGAGGCTATAGCCAGCAAAGTGAAGTATTTTTCGGCCTAATATCACGAAAAAAGTTTCATTGAAATTGGTGACCCCATGTCCTTAGCCTTCCCTTGTTAGTAGCAACTTCATTCTCTGGTAGAAAATATGATTATAAAAATTGAAAATATGGGATAGGACGACCGTTTTGTTTTCTTTCTAAGACTTAAAAAAAGCTATGATTTTAGGACATCTCTATTTATTACTATATACAGGGGTGCCCCTCCCCCCAAGGTCGATGGCGCAAGAACCTACTCCTAACCACCCCCTTTCCCCTTCTCTCAAGATATTTTATTGTTCATCTTAAAAACAGAGCAAGCTAAGGTAGAATTAATAAAATCGTAGATCATTAACAATTACACGATCTTCCATGTTTTCTCCCTTGTCCCTTAGTCCAAAAGTTCATAACCCCGTCGAAATTTGCTCTCCTCAAAAATTCAAAAACTCGTCAAACTATGACAAACCTCAGAAATTTTGATGCCTCAACTTAACAAAAACTTGCCCCTGACTATATATTAAAAATGTGATATCATAATTTCGTTCCTTTAAAAAATAAATGACATTTTTAACTAGATATGTTCTTCAATGTCTTGAGAAATATTTTAACTTTATAGTTAACACTATCTTAGTTTAAAAAAAAAAAAATCAATCTCATTACGTCCCTTCAATGAATTCCGAGGTTATCTCCTATTTCCTATCATTTTTACTGAATGTCAATGACTTCTTTATGTTTTTTGAAAATTTGATATCAGGGTCTCCTCCTTCACGGTTTATGTTCTCATTGAAGGTGTAATAATTTCAGACTTACCAGTTGTAGGATGCTTTTCAAAATTAATTTTTGTGCATTATGAGCAAACATAGTGTTGCATTCGTCGAGCTGTATTTTAAACAAGATAGCATTATTAAGCATTAAGACAAAATTACCTAACACGAAGTTTAAAGTTGGGCTAGGCATGTGATTAAACGGCAGGTTTAACCGAAAACTGGTTAATTTCATTTAGGTGAATCTTTTTTTTTTTTTTTTTTCCTTTCACTTTCAGTAGCGTAACGTGTGGTCGAACACATCGCGTGGCGAACAT